AGGAATTGGAGCAGAAAAGTTCGTCCATACTGTTATAGTTGCTGACATCGAAGAGGATGTTATATTAGGAATGGACGTAATGAATACGCATGGATTCCAATTGGATTTTAAGAATAAGGTAATCAAAGTTGGTAACGAGGAGGTATTTCTCCATCCACATGATGACAACACTATGCAAGCAGCCGTTAAAGAAGATACAATCGTGCCTGCGAGAAGTGAAACGATAATAGTAGCGCGGCTACAGGGAATTGTGGACGAAGGAACACCTGTTATGATGGAGCCTTGGAATCATGACGACGAAGTTGGCCGTGGAATCATAATTGGAAAGGAATTGGTGACTTCGGCTAAAGAGATTCCTGTGAGACTTATTAATGTCAATGACTACCCAGTGACCATCAAGAAAGAGACAAAAGTAGGAACTTGTGTACCTGTTACATCCATAATCCGTCAGACGACAACGTCTGATAATTCCAACGACAAATTTGATCAAATGGTTGCAGTTGCTGGACAGTCTCTGAATCAGATTGAGAAAAGGAAATTAAGGGAATTTCTTCGGCAGTATCGTGATATTTTCGTACCGAAAGGAGGAAAGACGGGAAGAACTACCGTTGTTAAGCATAGAATTGATACTGGTAATGCTAAGCCAATTCGTCAAACAGCTCGACGATTACCACAGGCGAAAAGAGAGGAAGCTGAAACGATTGTTCAGGAAATGAAGAAAGACGGGGTAATAGAACCTTCTACGAGCCCATGGGTCTCTCCGGTGGTCCTGGTTAAGAAGAAAGACGGAACAACGAGGTTCTGTGTGGATTACCGTTTGCTGAACAACGTTACCAAGAAAGATAGTTATCCTCTGCCTCGGATCGATGACACATTAGACACATTGGCTGGAAGTAAATTATTTTCTACTTTGGATTTGAAGTCTGGATACTGGCAGGTAGAAATGGACACGATAGATAAAGAAAAGACAGCCTTTACCACAGGATCTGGATTATGGCAATTCAACGTTATGCCATTTGGACTTTGTAACGCTCCTGCGACATTTGAGAGGCTTATGGAAAATGTGTTGAGAGGGTTATCTTGGAAAACATGCCTAGTTTATCTAGACGACATAATCGTCTTGGGGGAGACATTTGAAGACCATCTGAAGAATTTAGAAAACGTTTTTAATCGACTTAAAGCTGCCCAATTGATGTTAAACCCCAAGAAGTGCCAGCTATTTCAAGGTAAAGTCAATTATCTGGGTCATATAGTCAGTAAAGAAGGAGTGGCTGTGGATAAGGGAAAAATTGATTCCATTAAGGAATGGCCAAAACCAACTGACAAACACCAAGTGAGAAGTTTTCTGGGACTATGTACTTACTACCGGAGGTTTATTAAGAAGTTTGCAGATATCGCTAAACCATTAACGCGACTTACAGAGGAAGCAAGAGAATACCGCTGGGATGTAGACTGCCAGAATGCCTTTGAGACCTTAAAAAAGCATTTAATCACAGCACCAATTTTAGGGTATCCACTGCCAGAAGGAGAGTTCATCTTAGATACAGATGCAAGTAATGTGGGAATTGGAGGAGTGCTGTCTCAGATTCAAGAAGGACAGGAAAGAGTCCTTGGATATTTTAGTAAAGTTCTCTCAAAACCTGAGCGAAATTATTGCGTCACGAGAAGAGAACTTCTGGCAGTAGTGAAATCAGTAGAGCACTTCTATCAATACCTCTATGGAAGGAAGTTTTTAATCCGAACCGACCATGCCGCCCTTAAGTGGTTGATGCAGTTTAAGAATCCAGAGGGTCAGATAGCCAGGTGGATCGAACGACTCCAAGAATATGATTTTAAGATTGAGCACCGGGCCGGAGTTAGCCACCGAAACGCCGATTCTCTTTCCAGAAGGCCATGCCCAGCAGAGTGTTCTCACTGCAACAAAACGGAATCCAAGGAAGCAGCAGTGCTAAGAACGACGGTGGTCCACGACGACTGGACGCCTACCAAGATCAGGGAAGAACAAGAGAGAGATCCAGTTATACAGAAAATCCGAAAATGGAAAGAGGAAAACCGTCGACCACCTTGGCAAGAAATATCGAACCTAGGCTCAATAGTTAAGACGTATTGGGCCCAGTGGGACTCATTTATCATGGAAGATGGCTTGCTCAAACGAGTCCTGGAAAATGATGACGGTTCAGAGAAGAGAAGACAGTTGGTGATTCCAAAGAGCAGAATAGCCGAAGTACTTCGTCAGTTACACGACAGTCCATCAGGAGGGCATTTTGGTGTGAAAAAGACCCTTCAGCGAATTCGGGAACGGTTTTATTGGATGAACAGTTCCGACGATGTAAAAGACTGGTGTAAGAAATGTACTATTTGTGCTACGAGTAACGGGCCTTATCGAAAAAGGAGAGCTCCTATGAGACAATATAATGTTGGAAGCCCGTTTGAAAGAATAGCTTTGGACATTGCTGGGCCGTTTCCAGAAAGTGATAATGGAGGCAAGTACATGTTGGTAGTAATGGATTACTTCACTAAGTGGGTCGAGATTTACGCACTTCCAGACCAGAAAGCGGCCACCGTTGCAGATAAGTTGATCCAAGAATATATCAGCCGATTTGGAGTGCCTTTGGAGATCCATAGTGACCAAGGCAGGAACTTCGAAAGCGATTTATTCCAAGGAATATGTGATAGACTAGGTATGAAGAAAACAAGGACTACGGCTTATCATCCGCAATCGGATGGTATGGTAGAACGAATGAATAGAACAGTTGGCAAGTATTTGACAAAGATGGTGTCCGATCATCAGCGAGACTGGGACCAATATCTCCCGTTCTTCACAATGGCCTACAGATCTGCTGTTAATGAATCAACAGGCCAGACACCAGCCAGAGTCCTATTCGGACGCGAGATGCGACTACCTTGTGATCTAGAGTTTGGGTGTCGACCTGGAGAAGATGTAGCAGGTGAAGATTATGTGATCGAATTACGAAGAAGAATGGACGATGTACACGAGTTGGTCCGTTCCCATCTCCAAATCGCTAGTGACCGAATGAAGAAACGGTACGATACACAAGCCGAAAAGGGGTGTTTTAAGAAGAACGATAAAGTCTGGCTTTATAACCCCAAAAAGCGAAAAGGTTGTTCTCCCAAATTGCAGCAGTTTTGGGAAGGTCCATACCTCATTATGGAGAAGATCAATGATGTTATTTACCGAATAAGCAAGATTCCGAGAGGAAAGCCGATGATAGTACACCATAACCGGTTGGCGTCTTTCGAGGGTGACCACGACGTAGATGAAGAAGTGGAAGTAAACCAAGTCCAAGATGTGTCTGACCTCACGTTTGAGGAATTCATGGGTGCCTATGGAGGTACCGGTAAAGCAAGACATGGTGTTACCACTGAAGAAAGGCAAGATCTACTCGCGCTTCCCGATGACTACTCACTGGCCCTTACCATCCCGGCCAGTATCAAAGATGCACCAGGGTTGGCATCCGTCTTTCGAAGGAAGTTTGGTCGAGTTGCAGAACTTCAATGCCAAGTGCCAGCTCCTGGTAAAACCTTGAAACTTCAAGATGCATCACGTTACCTTTTCTACCTGGTAACAAAAGACACTGCCCGTGACCAACCTACCTACCGAGATGTATGGGAAGCCTTACTTCAGTTGAGAGAGCACGTACTAGAATCCGACGTGCAAAAGTTAGCCATGCCAAAGTTGGAGTGCCGCCAATTAGATTGGAGGGTTATACGAAACATGGTGGAGGAAATCTTTAAAGACACCGAAGTCCAGGTGTTAGTCTGTTGCAATCCGCATAGTTACTGCTGCGGAGAGAAAACCGTCCCTTGTCATTTCTATACAACTGGAAGTTGTAAAAGAGGGTCCAGTTGCCGATATCAGCATGTCGTTCAAGTTCCAGTCCCGACAAGGTTCCAGGAGGAACCATCTTTTAAGAGGGGGGCAATGTTACGATTTTAAATGTTATGGCGTATAGAACTGTAAATATTTTATGACTAATTCTTTTTATTGATTCTCGTAATTTGTAGGTCAAAATATACCTGAGCTTAGCTACCAGTTGTTTACCAGAAATCTCTAGACACTAACACTAATGAGTCATCCACGTCTCGAGGTTGAAAAACGAGTCGAGCGCCTTCACCAAAATACGAGATTATTCAAGAAGTCCGCCGAATTCTCTGGATGACAACAGTTGTGTATATAAATGAAAGATTTTTATTTGGCAGTCAGTGATAAGAAGCTCGGCAACCGCGATATTTAAATGTAACGAAACATAAATTATTATTTGTAATATAAATTAGAATTAATAAAGACTTTAATAAATTCGTAATTAGTTATCGTGAGTTTTAATAAATTAGATTATAGACAAATAAATTAGAACTATATAAACTTCACACTTTACTGTTTATTTTAATAACTAGAATTTTAATAATTAGATTTAAATTGTTTTTATCGGTGGTCACTTTTTGCTATCGCACTCGACGGAATACCTCTTTACTCTGCTATAATCAAGTAAATACTATTTATATTAATGTGAGTCATATTTTCTTGTAGTAATAAAATTTAAATACTAAAACTACTTTGCGTAAATCAGCAAGAAAAAATGGGGTAAGGAAGTAGCAGGGACGCAAATAATACGCAAGAGAACAGTCAATACCGGCAAAATGCTTCACAATTTTGCAGTAGGTACCAAAATTCAGATAACATGTATGTTCTTCTTTTGGTTCCTTTGTCCTTCTATTATATAGCTTGTTTCCTCTTCAAAATTACCCCATTAAATTTTTTAAATTATCACACCACCTTTTTCTTGGTCTGCCAATACATCTTTGTCGATTTGGTGACTTATCTCGTGTTTTTCGTATTATGCCATTTTACTAATGTGTTCGTTTCGCTTCTGTTACCACCTAAATAAAAAGAATAATTTTGTTCATTTTATTATTAAAAACAAAAAATTTGGTTTAAAAATTTATTTTAAGTTTTTTATAATAGTTTTCTAACATTGATACTAATCTTCTAGACACAATTCTAAAAATTCGCAAAATTTTTGAGGTGACGTGCTATTGAGTTTGTCGTACATTTCATCAACTATTGGAAGGAATTTTTCCAAGCACTTTTGTTCCAATTTTGGTATTACGTTCCACATATGACAAGTTTCTTTTACTTCTTCTTCAACTTTGTCCTATCAGAAAAAAAAACATTTGTTAATATAATTAAAACTTATTAAAAATTTGAATTATTTTGATCACTATTGATTTATTATAACTATAGTAAAAACTATATATTTTTTTATTTTTAGAATTTTTTTTCTGTTACAAAATTTTAACTTTTTAGAAGCAGACAGAGAGACACAGTAAAAATCCTTTTAGTAAAAATCTTTGAACATTTAGACATACAACTTTGGGTTTTTCGCTTGCTTAGTATTAGATTAACAAGTTTTCAGCACATTCACTCGTCCTTCCTCTTATATTTTTATCTACTATTTTTAGCACGTCTGTATCAAATCTATTCCTCTACAACTTTTATGATGTGTAAATATTTACTAAATTTTGTTTATATAATTTCTCTCTGCACCCTTTGAATATTTCTTTTGTTATTTTAAATATTTTATATTTTCGGACTAACAAGAAATATTTATTTTTCGTTGACCGTCCATTTATCATCAATTTTAACACCCGCAAAATCATTTATTGATGACTCCTACTAATGAATGATTCTCTATTAATGAACGATATTATTATAGGCAACACAACATACATTGCTTGCATAAATTAATTAGACGCTATAATGTATATGGCAGTGATCTGTGGTGTAGGCAACCAAATATATACCCATTTATATTCCCACTAAAAAATTTTAAATAAAGTGGCCACTGTTAGTACTATCTGTCATTGTATGTCATTAATTACTTTATTGTTTAAAATTCTGTGTATTTAAAAAACCAAAAGATGGATATTGACGAAGAGTTTAATTTAACTCCACCAGAAATGGCAGAAACTGCAGATAAAATATCTTTAAGTTTACTGCCTGAAAAAAGCAGATTGTTGTACGAAAAAACATATGCTAAATTTATTGCATGGTTTGACGAGAGAAAAAGAATACGATATTCAGAATCTGTATTGTTGATATATTTTTAAAACATGGCCGAAGGAGGAGTAATAGCAAGTTTGCGGCTCAAATATTCGATGTTAAAATCAAGCTTAAGTTTAAAATCAAACATTGATATATCTAAATATAATAAGGTTATTATGTTTATCAAGAAAAAAAGAACAGGTTATGTACCAAAGAAATCAAAAACACTTGAAAAAGAACAAGTCCAGAAATTCACCTCTGATGCTCATAACGACGCGATGTGTTTCTAATGATAAAGGTAAAACAGTAAATTAAGTTTATATATTTAATACTCAAAAGTATCAAAAACACACACATATAGAATATTTACCATAGTAGGTAACAAAGCGAATACAATTTTTTATTATTTTTTTAAATAACGAATATTCCGCACAGCCAGTTGGCATAAATACGTTTTCCAAAATTATTTCCGTTATTGCTAAATTCTTAAAATAAGAGCACCCTATCTTTACACCGGGTATTGTTTTAGATGTTCAGTTGCCGCAATACTGTGCGGCAGTGGTGCAGACTTTTCAGCTATTAAATAACTAGGTGGCTGGAAATCGACTGCTGTAGTAGACTGGTATATAGGTAATTCTATGTGGAATAAAAACTCTATGGACCGAATACTACTAAACCTTGTAAAAGTAATTCTTTCAACATCACCGCTTCTTCTCCTATCACATAATTTACAGAGGTCCAAGAAGTCTCTTTTCATCCTGGAGGGTGCCGGTTTACAACATTCTTTCCATGGAGAGGCTTATATGCAACAGTGTCTCTTTCAGCGGCTTTGTTCTTGCTGTAAGCCCAATTAGTCCGCTAGCCTTCGACAGCTCAGTAGAGAAACTAAAATGGACTTTCAAAGTTGCTTTTATCTGGCCTGTTGAATTGATATAGTGAAATATAACAATTACTTGTTTAGAAAGAAACTGTAATTGAAAAAAGAAAGGGCAAGAAATAGAGCTTATAAAATTTGAGTGTGTAACTTATCGTAGGAACTTAATTTGAATATTACAATTTGCAAACGAAAGCGAAAACACCATAACACTTATTCACATATTACGGCTTCCCGGTCAATTGCGTAAACTGCAACGTGGAGAATCCTCTCCGAACTTTTGAAATATAGATGTTAGCCCTACGAAAGTCGCTAAATCACTAGCCCCGCTGGAATATTTTTTTGTTTATGCATTTTGAAAAGCCGGTCTGTCGCCAAGTAGGCGCTGTGGGCGGAGATTACCATTCTCAGAAACAAGGTCTAGGTAGACTGGATTTATTTAGGTAACCGACGCGAAAATAGAATTATTTGATACAAAATAGAATTATTGGTTTGGAGATATAGTTCTCCAACACATCCTTTTTGTAAACTCTTTTTTCCATCCCAGTGTTCATTTTTTGTTCTTCTTACCAACTGCTTTGTTTGATTTCGTGTTCTTCTATAGTTGTCTCAAAACTCTGGAGAAGTTGATGTTTTGTACGTCGTGTAGGGCTCTCGTTCTCTCTTTTCTGAACCATGGCGTATTGTTGTTGTTTCTTTTATCCAGTATCACTTTGCATTTTTCTAGAGACTCTGTTGCTGCTTCTTCAATGTTGTTTTTAATGTTCTCCCTGCTCGCGTTTATATCTTGGATATCGGTTATTAGTCTCAGCTATATCTTCTGTGCTAGCCTCATTTTGTACATTTCTCTTGTAGAGTTGTTCTACAGTGATGCAGTGCTCGGGGTTATAGATAGATATGACATTAAATTCATAGTAGTCCATTGTGATGTTTATATGTATTATTCCGTCGGAGATATGACGGCAGTTATTTATGTTGTCTTAAATTTTTATATGGACAAGTATACCTACGGATGTTCATGCCAGAATATTTTTTGTCGTTTGCCTACGTTTATTTTACCCTGAGCTTTCCCTGCAGAATGCATTTTAATGACTTAGGTTTGTTTGACAGTCGACTAAAAAATATGCCACCTAAATCAACAAGAATAATTCTGTTAATTTTATTAATAAAACAATAATTTGGTTTAAAAATTTATTTTAAGTTTTTTATGATAACATTCTTACAGTGGTACTAATTTTCTACACACAATTCCAAAAATTCGCAAAATTCTTGAGGCGACATGCTATCGAGTTTGTCGTACATTTCGTCAACTATCGGAATGAATTTTTCCAAGCATCTTTTTTCCAATTCTGGCAAATAACTTAACGAATGACAAGTTTCTTTAACTTTTTCTTCAATTTTGTCCTGTCAGAAAAAAAAAAACATTTATCATTATAATTGTTCTAATTTTATAACAAATTGTTATAACAAATTTTAATTACTTATTGGTTTTATACATAACTATATTAAAAACTACATTTTATGTTACACACTGTTACAAAATTTTGAATTTATAGAAGTACTCATAGAGACACAGTAAAACACCTTTCAGTTAAAATCTTTAGACATACAACGTTGAATCTTACGCTTCCTAGGACTTTAGTAACAAGTTTTCAGCACATTCACTCGTCCTACCTCTTATATTTTTGGGCTACTATTTTTTGCACGTCTCTATCAAACTTACTTTGCTTTTACTTTTTCGAGTCTGAATCCGATTACAGTTTTTCTGCCCAATATCGGGCTACGTCTACAGCCTTTGTATTTGCGAGCCATAAATTATCGAGGGTACACTGTGATGGGCAAAGTCTGCATACTCTCAGGTGCTCCACATTTTATATTTCCTTACATTCACAGAGTGCCCCGCTATCTGTCTTGATGCCCCATTTGATGAGGTTATGTTTTACAGGGGCAACACCTGTGCGCATGCGGTTGAGTGTCCGCCAGGTTCTCCAGTCCAGGTTCATTTCATTGTAGAGATGGAATGCACATACTTGGGTTTTAGTAGGGTTTGGCTTTAATGAGTTTTGTTTGTAGTAAGTTGACATCATGTTTAAAGCATCTTTCATTGTCGACTCTACTTGTGTGAGTGTTTTCACCTTTATGGCTATGCCAAGGTCGTCAGCGTAAACAAAACTCTCAGTCTGATGGTGCATTGGTTGGTCGTTGGTGTAGATGTTAAATAAGGACGGCGCCAGAACGCTTCCTTGAGGTAAGTCATTTTTTTGGGTTCTCCATCTACTCTTCTTTACATTTAGCACAACGTAGAAGCGTCTATTACACAACAGTGATCTAATGATATTTACCAGGTCATAGGCAAGCACAGTGTTATAGATCTTAGTTAGCAAGGTTCTGTGGCTTATCGTATCATAGGCCGCTGTGAGGTCTATCAAGGCTACTCCTACTATCTCTTTCTGCTCAAATCCCTCCTCTATGTATTCTGTTAGGTTCAGCACTTGACCTGTGCATGATTTACCTGGTCTAAAGCCTGCTTGTTGTGGGATTAGTTTTGCATCTAATGTTACCTGGATGCGGTTCAAAATGAGGCGTTCATACAATTTATACAAATGGTATAGCAGAGATATCGGACGGTAGCTACTCGGTAGTTCAGGGTCCTTGCCAGGTTACAGAAGGACATTACTTTTGATTTGCGCCACAGTTTTGAAATCTGGTAGGTAGAGGGACAGACGTTAAATAGATCGAGCACTCATTGTCTCGCTTTTTGCCCGAGATGTTTTATCTGCTCTGTTAGGATTTCATCCACCCCAGGTAATTTTCCATTTTTCAAACAGTCAATACCTTTTTTGAGCTCTTCGATGGTAAATGGGTTTCGTAAGAGATTTGTTTCCTGGTCTTGAGTTCTTATAATATTTGGAGTTTTGCAACGATTGTTTGTTTTGCCATTCAGAAGCAGTTGGTGGGGATAGCATCTGATTGGACGTTATTGCACATAGCTCTTTCATCTTTGTGGGATCACCATTAAGTTTTTGATCATATTCCAAGCCTGCTTATTACTGTGCGTCATATCCATTTTACTTAAAGTCTCGCTCCACCGTTGTTGTTCTATCAAACGAAGACAGAAAACCGAGGTTACCAATGTAATTCACAGAATCAAATGTTTAATAGAATCATACTGGGGTATCCAAGAGGCGTCAAGAGACAAGACGACGACGTCCAAACTTAGAATGAGACTACGACATACGAAAAGAAGCCGGTACACAGAAAAGCAGCAAAGATTAGACAATCGTGGGTAGAGTCAACAGTCATTTGTCCTCAATTCAATACGTTTTTTATTTTTGTATATACCTGTTCCACACGAGTGATTATATTATAAATTTTTCTATACATTGAAAAGTAGTTATTATAATGACAACTATTACTTGCGATTTAAAACATAACAAAAGGTAAGTATTACTCAAAAAGCTTACCAATGGAAAGTCTTGTCGTACGATATCCTGAACCTCTTCTGCCAATCCTACGCACAGTTGGCACATAATCCTAAAAAAATAAGTTTTTAATTATTGAAATTAATTAAATTTGAATAAATTATATTTACTTTTATATACATGCATAAGTGTTTTGTTTATAGTATTTGTTTTCAAAACAGAAAAAAAATATTGTTATACAATTATGTAATAATATTAACAAATTGATCCTTAGGAATAGTTTTAATTATTTTATTTTTTATATTTTAGATTTATTTCAGTATTCGTTGTTAACATTTTAGATTGTATATGTGATTTTTACATTTTAAATTATCCCGCTATTTCAAACAAGTTTAGTGACACCGCCGTAAATTGTTAATTACTTATAGATTGTTTTAAACTACGTGTACATTTTTCAATTGTTTGTGGTTTGATTTAAAGTAAATAGATCGATATTAATTAAATAAAAAACACATTGTGAACTATGGATACCACTTCTTATGTATCTGAAACTATGTTTAATATATACATAGATAATACTTTCTTTGTGTTCCATCCAAGTCACTGAGTTACTTGCTATAATTAGGGTAAGTGTTATAAAATTGTATACTTAGTTTCCACTTGTTCATTGTTTGTTCTCTCGTTTGTTTGTAGTTTACTCTGATGATGTAAATAATCATTGACGAAAGCTTAGACCTTTAATTAAAAAGCACATCTAACGAAGCACCCTAGTTTTATTTTGCTTCCTCAGTTATAAAAGGGTATCTGCCAGTATTATCTTCTTTTCACTACATAGGACTCGTACCCGTTATCATCCTTTTGGGTATATATATATATATATATATATATATATATATATATATATATATATATATATATATTTATATATAAGAGTAAGAAAAAAGAAGTACTTGTGACTCGTTTGGAAAAAATATAACACTGTTTTTGATGGGTTGGAGTCAATAAAAGGGGCTATTTGTTGACTATTTTTTACTCGAGCTTTCAATTGTGATTACAATTTTTATCAAGAGCTTCTAAAAAATACAAAATGTCTTACAAAGTTGAACTAGAAATAAAAAATTTTTTGTTAACTCACCAAATAAAATTAGTTTTTTATATAAAACTACTGCTTACATAATAAATACAAAAAATATTAATAAAAAAAATGTCTTATTCTAATAAATGTTTCTCTGAAAAATTTAGATGAAGTTTCTTAAGAAAAAAATTGAATTTATAAACAAAAATAGAATAGCTACAACCAGCCTAAAATGTCATAAATACTAACTTAAAAATTTTTAGTTTTGACATATTGTCAAAAATAAAATTTTGTTTAAAAAATTTCTTCTTTGTTTAGTAACAAAAAAGAAGAAGATTTATTCACCATTGATAGATGCCCGAAAAAATGTAACAAATACATGGAAAATTCAAAATGTGATATTTTACTGACTGCATAAATTAAATAGAAATTATATAATTATAAATTTTGCTTAAATTTTGAATTTCTGACCTTTTGTTTAAATTATTATCACTTTTGCTAATACAAACCATTTCCAAAAAAGTTCTTTTAAATTTATTACTTTCATTACATAAAATTTTAATATTATCAAAATCCATAATATGGTCTTTGTCTATTACATGCTCTGCCAAAGCACAAGATGGTTTCTTAATTCTACAATCATTCTTGTGAGAAATAATGCGATTTGAGAGATTTCTTCCAGTCTCACCAATATACTCAGCTTCACACTGAGTACAAACAATGCTGTATACTACATTTGTTTGATCTAATTTGTCGATAGGATATTTAGTTTTGAAATATAAAGATGAAATAGTTTTGATGTTCTTTGTTGCTATTTTTATATTGTCAATAACCTTTAATGTTTGTATTAATTTAGGAGTTAATGATGGTATAAAAGGTAGTGAATGATAATATATGTTTTGATTGTTGGATACAGTGTTTTGATATGCTACATAGGATGCTTTTTTCTAATTTATTAAATATAAATAATTTAACACCATTTTTTGCTAAATCTCAAAACACTGAATCCAACAATCAAAACATATATTATCATTCACTACCTTTTATACCATCATTAACTCCTAAATTAATACAAACATTAAAGGTTATTGTCAATATAAAAATAGCAACAAAGAACATCAAAACTATTTCATCTTTATATTCCAAAACTAAATATCCTATCGACAAATTAGATCAAACAAATGTAGTATACAGCATTGTTTGTACTCAGTGTGAAGCTGAGTATATTGGTGAGACTGGAAGAAATCTCTCAAATCGCATTATTTCTCACAAGAGTGATTGTAGAATTAAGAAACCATCTTGTGCTTTGGCAGAGCATGTAATAGACAAAGATCATATTATGGATTTTGATAATATTAAAATTTTATGTAATGAAAGTAATAAATTTAAAAGAACTTTTTTGGAAATGGTTTGTATTAGCAAAAGTGATAATAATTTAAACAAAAGGTCAGAAATTCAAAATTTAAGCAAAATTTATAATTATATAATTTCTATTTAATTTATGCAGTCAGTAAAATATCACATTTTGAATTTTCCATGTATTTGTTACATTTTTTCGGGCATCTATCAATGGTGAATAAATCTTCTTCTTTTTTGTTACTAAACAAAGAAGAAATTTTTTAAACAAAATTTTATTTTTGACAATATGTCAAAACTAAAAATTTTTAAGTTAGTATTTATGACATTTTAGGCTGGTTGTAGCTATTCTATTTTTGTTTATAAATTCAATTTTTTTCTTAAGAAACTTCATCTAAATTTTTCAGAGAAACATTTATTAGAATAAGACATTTTTTTATTAATATTTTTTGTATTTATTATGTAAGCAGTAGTTTTATATAAAAAACTAATTTTATTTGGTGAGTTAACAAAAAATTTTTTATTTCTAGTTCAACTTTGTAAGACATTTTGTATTTTTTAGAAGCTCTTGATAAAAATTGTAATCACAATTGAAAGCTCGAGTAAAAAATAGTCAACAAATAGCCCCTTTTATTGACTCCAACCCATCAAAAACAGTGTTATATATATATATATATATATATATATATATATATATATATATATATATATATATATATATATATATATATATAATTATTATATGCAAGGCAAACAATATGATGCAGCTACATACTAAGAAAAAGAGTACAAAGAGCAAATATATCACCTATGTGGTGTTTGTGATGACTGAAAAGAAAAACGGCAACAAACAAGTCACAGGAAAGTATGGTGTCGGTAAGAGAAACGAAAGGAGAGAAAGATTGTTTTAATTTGAACACTACCAGGATACACCCGTTGCAAATTCGTTTTTTAAGAAAAACTCGAACACAAAATAGACTTTGGTAGCACCAAATGAATCCACAAAGAACGAAATTTACTTCTTAACAAAAAGATTGCTACAATCAGATATGTCAGTGTAATCAATAAATTTGAAACATACAGCGATCATAGACTTATATTAAAGCAAATGTAATTAAAAACAAAACCAACGGTTACGGGTATAAATATTAACAATCAGTAAAGAAAAAGGATTGGATGCCCGATAACATACTAGACCTTATTTAACAAAGAAGAAATTGTAGAAATAAAGATGAGACTCGATATAGAGAAATATATCGACAAATAAGATACGAGCTTAAGCGAGCAAAAGAGGCCTGGATGAAACAGAGATATCGTGAGATGGAAGAACTACACAGAAAACATGACGAGTTTAGTATACACAAAAAAAGTTAAAGAAATTACATACACTCAGAGAAAAAGAACTTCTAACTTTATAAGAAACTCCAAAGATAAAATTATTCTCGACCCCAACGAAAAAATAAAAGGAAAAATGAACCAACTATATAAAAGAGCCCTTCCTGGATACGAGGCCGCCACAACACCACAAAGTATATGAATACTACTCCTTGTATTTCAAAAGCAGAAGTAGAGGCCATCTAACAAAGCAAAAATGGGAAATCTTTAGGCCCTGACCAAAAACTATCAGACTGGCTTAAACTTCTAGACGACAGCAATGTCTCAGAACTAACAAAGATTTATAACCACATATACGAAAGCGGAACACTACTACAAATATGCTTGGAGTCTACATTTATCCCACTTCCAAAAAAATCTAATACATCATAAAGACTTAAGACTAATTAGTCTCATGAGTCACTCTCTCAAGCTACTTCTTAGATAATTCTTAATAGAATCAAGCAAAAATGTCAAGACACAATGGAAAATAAATAATTATGTTTCATAGTAGGATTGGGAACAAGGGAAGCTTCGTTCTCAATGCTAACACTACTTCAACGATCATGGGAAATATAGAAACTTTTTTAGGTCTGCTTTATACCGATAACAAAAATTAACCATTTTAAATACCTAAGATGTTGGATCAACGAGACACTAAATCCGGATGAAGAAATTAAAACTCGAATAGAAATTGCAAGAGGAGAATTTATAAAACTTAGATCTATTCTGAGAAATTCTCAGATAAAATCAAATAATGAACAAATTAGAAGCCCTCGAGATGTGGTTATACCGTAGAATGCTTAGAATATCATGGGTTCAATACATTTTAAACAGAGAAGTCTTGAACAGAGTAGGTCAGGGTGAAGGTGACTTAATAAAGATGATAAAAAAGAAAAAACTCGAATATCTGGGGCATATAATGAGAGCAAGCAGATACAGGATAATTCAGTTGATACTCAACGGAAAGATCGACGGAAAAAGTGGAATTGGTAGGAAGATATACTCATGGCTCCATAACCTTCGTCAATGGACTGTCTTTTCAGCAGATGAATTAACTTGCACGGCACGGTACTTAACGAAGAAGATAATATATCTATAAAATGTAGGAACTCAAAATAATATCAAAATTTAGACAATCATATATACTACATTCTAGACTCTATCATACTACTCTATCAGTTTTTTTAGAAACCAGCTGTACATATCTGGATATGAACATTTTAAAGACAACAACTTAGCATGAGATTTTAAGCACTTATTGATGTATGCGTATCTTATATACTAAAACGCTAAGCCCTTTTCTTGTCCACCACTTTACTCAAAAATCATATTAGATAATTAAAATATGTTTTCGGAATAATATTAGTATTACGTATAAGATTGTCAAGATATACTTTTGGTACAAAAATTCGCTTCCGGTTTTGAGATCACCGGAAGTTGAAATTTACTTCAAGTTTTAGACCCCACAATGTATATATGGATCGAAAGGTCTCGTCGAGACGAATCTAAATATGTACCGGTTGCGATCTGACATCGGAAGTGACCCGAAACGCATATAAAACGTCAAGATAGAGCAAATCTGACACCGAATTCGTGATCAGCATGCAAAATTAACTGCTAAATGATATCCATGTCGACATTTGATAAACTAAAAATTGCATTCCGGTTTTGAGGTCGACTTCCGGTTTCGGTTTTATTAAAAAGTATAAAGTAAAAGTTTACATAACTCCCGGTGCCAAGCAAAAGTTTTCAGAAAATGGAGACATTGTAACAAAAAACATTGTTTTCGACGAAATATTTCGCGATATTTAATACACTTTTTACTTGCATTATTATTGATGAATGTTATGTATATTCTTGCTTATATTGTTTGTATTGATCTCTTAATTTTTCTCGCAAAATAAAAATGTCGGACAAACTCGATGTCGAGTTTGTCCGCTAGTTGTTATGCTATTTTTTAAATATTATTTTTATAATTGATTTAAACAACTGATAAATAAATTTTTCGAGGTGAGCCTTATCACCAAATTAAATATTATGATTATAAGCCTCTTGATTATGAAGTGTCTTTTAAGTCTTATCGATATCCGAAAAATTATTATAAACCACTATCAGTTCAACATAATTTTAGAAAAAAAAATTATTATTTACTTACTCCTGACTATCATCTTGGGCGCTGACGGTTAGACCTAAAAAAAAATTGTTTTAGTATGTAAGGAACATCTTTTAACTACTTTTTTACATAAAAATAACCTACAATTTTAAATAAAAAAATGGAATACAAATTTATTGTCTTGAATTTCACTTAAAATTTAATTTTAAATATTAGATGTCTACGTGTGCTTCATAGATTAAGAAAAGGCTTTTGACAAAGTCAAACACGATCAACTAATAGAATTCTTGCAAAAAAAGAACCTGGATCTAAACGACATTAATACAATAAGTGAACTCTACTGGAATCAAAACGCCTCTGTCAGAACTGAAATGGGTGATACTGAAACCATAAACATCCAAAGAGGAGTTAGACAATGTTGCATACTATCACCGTTATTATTCAACTTGAACTCAGAGAACATTTTTGCATATGCTCTGGATGAAGCAGAAGAACTAATAAAATCAATGTAAAAATCGTGAACAGTATCAGGTATTCCGATGATACAGTACTGATTGCTGGTAGTGAAGAAGAACTACAAATTCTATTATAGATTATTACAAATTATAGATTAAATAATATAGAATTTAACATCCTAGATTCTAACGTGAGAATTTTTTTTTTTTTTTTTTTTTTTTATTTCGACTTTAACGTGCTCGGCTGCTATGGCCACTTACACAGGTACTATAACATGAGTTTTCATTATACAATCAATAAATGTTACATTAAGAATATGTTACAATAATACGGAATGATAATAATATGTTACACAATGTCTAAATTAAAATCTAATTATATTTTTTGATATAAGTGTTCATCTCTAAGGAATTGTAGCACAGCTTTTATTTGGTCAGGGTCGCTTAGGATATCTCGTACTTCACTTTTGAGTTTGTATTGTAATCTTCTGGCCGAATGTTGATGGCATTCAGTGAGAATATGTTTGATTGTCAAATATGATTGGCAGCTTTGACAGGAGGGACGGATGCTAGAGGACATTAGGTAGCCGTGAGTGAGTTTTGAATGTCCTATCCGAAGTCGTCTTATCACAATGAGATCTCGTCTTGACAGGGCTGAATAGTCAAATGTAGGCTGACTGGTTATTGACGGTTGTATTTCGTGTAAGATCGAACGGTTATAGTTCCAATGCTGCTGCCAAAGGAGTCTGGTTCTTCTTTTAGTATATAATTTTAGGTCCTTACAAATTTGAATTTTATCGGTGATTTCAGGTGATGCTGTAGCAAGTTTAGCATAGTGATCTGCAGTATCATTGCCTTCTATACCAATATGAGATGGCAGCCAAATTATGGTAACTGTTATGTTTTGGGACAAGATAATTTGGTAAGAGTCTAGGATCTTTTGGACGATTGGATGATCGGTAAATATATTTTTGATAGAATGGATTGATGCTAAAGAGTCTGTGCATATGGCAACCTGCTTATTAAGTGGAGATATGTGGTTGAAAGCTTGCAATATACTAAATAATTCGCCAGTATGAACGCTGCTAACGGATGGTATAAGTGATGATTTAATTAATGAATGAGAGGTTGTGACAGAGCAGCCTACTCCTGTGTCATTTTTTGAGGCATCCGTGTATAATATTAGGTCGTAACTATTTGTACATATAATGTCTTTAAATGCATTTATAATGATCTCTTTCGGATGTTTATTTTTATCGAAGTTGGTGAGCGAGGTGTTAAATTTGGGCGTGGAGATGATCCAAGGAGGAGATATAGGGGATAAAGAGGAAGGGTATGTGTAAGAGAGATATCATTAAGTGTCTGTGCTAAAATTAGTGGAATAGGTTTTATTGGTGGTAAGGAATTGGTATTGTGTAAATTGTATGTGGACATTACAAATAAGGGATGCACTGGATTAGAGGGGTTAGCTGATACCGATGCTGCATAAGAGAGTAGCAGTTGTTTTCGTCTTATATAAAGAGGAGGTTCGTTAGCTTCGCAATAAAGATTATCTATAGGACTAGATCGAAAAGCGCCAATACAAAGACGAAGGGCTGTGTTGTGAATTGAGTTTAGAAGGTTAATATATGTTTTGGAGGCGGATATATATATGTGACAACCATAATCTAGCTTGGAACGTATTAGTGATCTGTATATTTTAAGAAGTGAGTTTTCGTCAGATCCCCAATAATGATGTGATAAAGTTTTTATTATGTTTAGTCTTTTGCACGTTTCTCCTTTTATTGCAAATATATGTTGCTTCCAAGTTAGTCGTGCGTCAAACGTTAATCCGAGAATTTTGCATTGTTTAACAACAGGAATAGGGACATTGTTAATCAAAATAAGTGGAGATGGAGAAGGGGGACGTCTACTAAAGTTTATAATTTTAGATTTTACATAGGATAAAGATAACCCCATGTCACTAGTTTTTTTTAAAAGTGTGTCAACAGCAGCTTGAATAAGCTTCGAGGTGGTAAAAGAGTTTTGTCCATGACAGTAAATTACTAGATCATCAGCATACATGATTTGTTTAATAGGGGAAATGAGATGAGAGCATAAATCACTTATTGCTAGATTAAAAAGTGTAGGACTTAGTACCGATCCCTGAGGTACGCCATCAGTTTGAGTATAAGTAGAAGATAAAAATACCGTTGACAGAGACTCTGAACGATCTAGAAGATAGAAAATTTTGTATGAAGTTAAATATATTACCATTAATATTAAGAAGGATAAGTTTGTTTATTAAACATTGCCTACTTATAGTATCAAAAGCACCTTCAATATCAAATATGGCAGCTACGACTTCTTGTTTTTTGTTTAAGGCTTCTGATATATGAGTTTGGAGGATTACAAGGTTGTCTTGGGTTGAACGGTTTCGACGAAATCCTGACTGTTCACTAGCGAATATCTTATGTTTTTCAATGAACCATAGAAGTCTTTTATTAATCATTTTTTCAAATATTTTGCACATCGTACAAGTTAGTGATATAGGCCTATAAGAGTTGGCCAAGGAACGATCTAGGTTAGGCTTTTTAATGGGTATTACGATAGAGGTTTGCCATTGTTTGGGAAATTGGTTAGATGACCAGATTAAATTATACATCTCAAGTATTTTGAGTAGGCTACAATTGGAGAGCTTTTTGATAAATATGTAAGGAATGTCGTCAGGACCAGCGGCATTGTTTTTACAGGTTTGAATAACTGATACTAGTTCTTCAAAAAGAAAGGGAGAATTAAGATGTGTGATGTCCATTATTGTATCGGGTGAGGAACAAGGTGGGGCGTTAGGTAATGGATTTCGTAAGGAGGTATCTATTTTACTTTTAAATTTATTGTCGAAGTGCTTTGCTAAGGTTTCGCCGATTTCTTGATTGTCAGTGATTGTAGTGCTATTTACAGCAATGCTAGAGATTTTGAGGTTGGTGTTGTTTCCTTGGATTTGTCTAATCTTTTTCCAAAGATCCACCGGATTGGTTCTTGAATTAATGGAAGATACATATTCTCTCCAAGATGATTTTTTACTTTGTTTTATAATAAATCGGGCTTTGGCTCTGGTTTTCTTTAGTTCAATGAGATTCTCCAGATTTTTGTTTTTACGGTAATTTTTAAGAGCTAATTTTTGTTGTTCTGTTGCGGTTTGGCAAGATGTATTCCACCAAGGTACTGCCTTTCTTTTATGTGAAATATTATTTTTGCCTATGTGCAAATTTGCAGCTTTAAGTATGGAATCGGTGATTAATAATAGATTATTGTTAATATTGTCGGATAGGGATAGAAAAGGTAAGGTGTTATCTGTTTGTGAAGTATAGTCATTCCAGTCGGCATTTTTTAGTCGCCAGAAGTTTCTGGTTATAGTTTGTTCATGGTTGGAGCTATCAGATGATACAAATATTGGAAAGTGGTTGCTGTCATAAAGATCATCTGAAGTTTTCCAAGATAGTGAAGTATATGTTTTTGGGTCGCTAAAACTAAGATCTATAGCCGAAAATGTGCCAGAGGAAAAGTTCAAATGCGTATTAGAGCCTGTATTTAGTAGACAGGAGCCTGTGCAATTGATAACGTTTTCTATAGTTTTACCTTTGCTATTAGTGTGGTTTGACCCCCACATAAAGTTATGAGCATTGAAGTCACCTACTAGAATATATGGAGCGGGGAGCTGATAGATAAGATTTAGAATTTCGATTTCTTGAAGAGGGTAGTTAGGAGGAATGTATACACTGCATATCGTAAGTTTATTTGGACACCAAGTAGTTACGGCTATAGCCTCGAGTTCCGTGGTGATGAGGAGATGGGATGAATATATTTCACTGGAAATAAAAATAGATGTCCCACCACTGGCTCTGTTACAATTAGTTCTGATATAATGGTATCCTTCGAACTTTTTTAATGTGGGAAGCTTAGATATTTTTGAGTTTGTTTCTTGTAGACATATGATATCAGGTTGTTTTTCTGTCACTAGTTGTTGGATTCTTTCAATACGGGGAAAGAACCCATCGCAATTCCATTGGATTAAATTGAAGGTGAAGCTTGAGTTGAAGGGGAAAGGGTCAACTGAGATGGTTGTTCTGGCTGTTGGGAGAGGAGGGTATTGGTTTCATTATCGGTTAGAAGTTCAGATGAGACGCTGATATTATCAGAGTCATCTGAGTTTAGCTGTCTTTTGATTTTCTTTTGAAGTCTGGTAAGTCGATTTTTAAGGGATCTTTCCTTAGTTTCTGAATGGAGAACTGTTATGTCGTGTAAGAGTCCTTCAATATTTGAAGTAAACACAAAAGCTTCATTAAGTGGACTAGGATTACCATGTGTATTTTCTAGGAAAGCAATAAACTGAGTCTCGGTCAAAGTTAGACCAGATGGATTATTTTCATAAATGGCCGCTACGGATTGTAGTGAACTAGCTGTTAGAATATGTTCCTCTGATTTTGTAGTTTTGTTTTTTTCTTGTGAGGTTTGGAGACAGTGTTTGTTTTTGTGGATAACGGAGGAAACATTTGGTTAGACGGTGGTTCGGGTGTACTTGCTGAAGATAAAAGAGAAGGAATATCAGAATTGCTGTCTGTTGATATAGCTCTTTTTTGTCTTTTTGTGGGTGGAATTGATGGGAGTATAGTTTCAGTATCTATGTCAGTAGGGGTTTCTGTGCAGTTTGGGGTAGTTAGGTCTAATTGATCAGGAGTGCTTACGTCAGAAATTATATCAGTAGTTTCAGATGAAGAGGGCTCTAGATGGGGTAGTTCAGTTTGAGAAAAAGTAGTTGTATTATTGGTACATGAGTCAGCGGTATGTCCGACCTCTTTACATAAAAAACAATGCAATTTATCCGTAGAAATAAATATTCTATAAGGAGTGTTTTCGTATGTAATAACGAAGTTACTATCTAGTGAAAAGTTCTCCTTATCGGGGATAATATACGTTACTCTTCGGAAGCTCATTATGTGTGCATAACCTTCTCCGAGTGCACCACATTTCACAAATGACACAGGAGAGACCAGCTGTAATCCAATATCTTTAAGGGCTTTCTCAATTATGGAATGTGGAATTGAAGGAGATACGTTAGATATAAGAAGGCGTTTAGCTGGGGTGATAAGTCTTCTGATGGGAACTACTGTAGAGTTGATAGAGATATTTTGATGTGTTTTTAGAAGGTTATCAACAACTGTAGGCGAGGAAAGATAAATACAGATGCGGTTATTTGGGATACGTGATGCAAAGGTAATATTTTTTGGGATTACAATGTCTCCTATAGCTTTAACATAGTCAAATAAAACAGTATTTGGAATAGCGTGTATTAAAATGGCTTGCTCCTTCCGTGGGAAAGTAGGAGGTGGAGGTTTGGATAAAGTAGCAGCGACATATGATTTTGTGGGGTGGACTTGTGGAGTTATGAGTTTTGGATTTGGGTTCATTATTGTGAGTGTTCCTGGATACCAAAAACACTTCACTTAATTTTTAATATTGGAACAGACGTCCTAGTAGGACACTGTGGGTAAAAAATAGTGATATAACAGTTACCTGTATCTGCAGTTTTCGGTCAGTTGAATATAATAATATTATAGTTCAATGATAATTGCTGTTTCCATAACACACAAAATAATTCGAATTTTCACATAATTGTTACTGGTTCGTAAACTGGTAGAAATCGATTTTTACCGATAAGGCACGGTAATGTTTACTCGTAGGCTACCTGAGTGGGAATTTCTTCGTATTTTTAACTCGTCGGTGGATTAATTTATCTGTTTAATACTGTTTAAATCTTTAAAATCCGTGAGGAAATTTAAAATGTGTATTTAAAACTTTGACGTTTATTTGACGAACGTGAGAATTAATATAAATAATATAATAAATAAAAAATTCAATACACAGTGTAAACAACTAAATAATCTAATTTCCAATAGTAAAAAACAGAATATTCATTATACAAAAAGTTTTTCGAACCATACTTTTTTCAATAGATTTATAAATTTAACAGGTACTAAATTTAGTAATAGCGAGATACAACTTTTAGAGAAAGGTTAAACACAACTTGCCCCAACATAATAATGAGAGAACTTTAGAATATTTAGGTGTAGAATGTGAAGTAGCGTTAAACAAAACTGCTAACAATATCGAAAAAAACTATAATTGCCAAATCTATTACAGATGTGTGTAGTGAAACTAAGAATTCCTGTTACAAAGAGAATAAAACAGCAATTTCAATTAAAAATAAATCAATAGAAAACAACATTGTGTTTACAAAAGCAGACAAAGGTAACACTACTATTGCTAAAGATAAAATAGAATATAATAACAAAACAATAGAATTCTTAAATAATCAAAATATTGAAACTTTACACAAAGATCCGACAGAAAAATATCAAAAACAAATTAAGCTAGCGTTAGAAAATTCAAAATCAATACTAAATCCAATAGAACAGAAATACCTCAGTATCATGAACCCACAGCCTCCTAAATTATATTTTTTCATTAAACTACACAAACCGGATCACCCAATAAGACCTGTAGTTTCTTTTTATACAGCTCCGTCATATAAACTTTCAAAAAAACTGTTAGAGATTATTTTGGAACACACTAAATTTTCACCTAAATTTACCATAAAAAATACAATAGAACCAGTTAATAAAATACAACATTTTCAATTACCTAACCACTCCAGATTAATTTCATTTGACGTAAAAAATCTTTTTTCTAGTATCCCTCCTACAGAAACTTTTATTCTAGTAAAAAACCTTTTAGACCAAAATAGTACAAATCTAATAATTACAACTGAAATTTTACATCTTCTTGAAGTTTGCATAAACCAGGACTACTTTGAATTTACTAATAAAATTTATACAAATAACAGTGCAGGACTTAAAATGGGTAATCCTCTAAGCCCATTGCTATCAGATATTTTTATGGATCATCTAGAGACAAAGATTTCAAAACATCCCGTATTAAACCAGCTTTTATATTGGTGGAGATACGTAGATGACGTACTGGTATGTTTCACAGGAACTAATAGGCAACTCGACCAATTTTTATCATATATTAATTCACTTCATAGTCATATTGAATTTACAATAGAAACAGAACAAAATCAATCCATAAATTTTTTAGATTTAAAAATTAGCAGACTTCAATACAAACATGACTTCTCCATATTTCATAAACCTACCCATACTGACACGACTATACACAATTTGTCATCCCATCCAACACAATATAAACTGGCAGCTTATCATAGTATGTTAACAACTTTGAGACAGAATTAAATATAATTAAGCAGATAGCAGTAAACAACGGATACAACGAACAAACAATTAATAAAATGTTAAATTAAAAACTACACAAGAAAGCCCTGAAATTAGTATTTCCACCACCAGAGAAAAAACCCAGTACCTTCTGCTCGATTACATATACAGGCAAAATAACAACAAAAATTGCCAAACACATAAAAAACAAAGGAATAACACCAGCTTTCCGAACAAATAACAACCTAGGCAAATATATTAACAATAACAAGAGCCAAAATAAAAAACACTTAAATAGTGGTGTGTACAAAATTCAATGTGGGGACTGCCCAAAAACTTACATCGGTTAAACTGGTAGAAACTTTGATAAACGAATAGCAGAACATAAAAGGGCTTTCAAGAATAGAAAAACAGATTCGACATACTCACTTCACCTTCTAGATCATAATCATTCTTTTAATGACAAATTTAAAATTCTTCACATTCAAAATAGAGGCCTTAAGCTATCCTTGTTAGAATCTATGGAAATCAACAAATTAAAAAACACAGATATAATTCTGAATGACCAACTTGAGACAAACAGTTGTCCCCTTCTTAACCTATTTCATTAGAGACTATAAATTTGTAAACCCAAGCCAAAAATAGATCACTTGAGAAAGGCAATCAGCCGAAACCGCTGTAGTGATAATATTTAAAATAAATTTTGTGAAAGTTTGAAAACAAAGTTTTCAGTGTTTTATTGTTACATAAAATGAATTTACATTAAGTAACGGTCAAATCCATCAACTACAAATTCTGTTAACCAAAGTAGTGCGGGAAGGAGAACTATACGGCCTTAAGGTAAATGTACAAAGAACCAAAACCATGGTAATTTCAAAAAAACACACACCAGTTATAAACATACTAGTCAACAACAATCTAGTTAAACTATCAAGGCTGTTGGATACACGAAACCTTAAACCAAGAACAAGAGTTTAAATGTAAAACAGAACAGGCCAAACACCTTCTTAAAAACCGCATAATAAAGTGTTATGTATATAGTGTATTATTACACGGAGTAAAAGCTTGGACGTTAACAGTCAGCTCGTTACGACGTTAAGAGAGCTTTGAGATGTGGGTATTTCGTCGTATGCTGAAAATTCCATGGACCGACCGCGTTAGAAATGAAGAAGGCGTATGAATAGAGAACGTGAAATCACAGAAATTGCCAAGAGGCGTAAAACGTCTTATCTTGGACACTTAATTAGACACGACAAGTATAACTTCCTTCAGCTTATTATAGAAGGAAAAATAGAAGGCAGACGCGGCCCGGGTAGACGACAAATGACCTGAGTGCGCAACATCAAAGATTGGATAGGATTAGACTTTCAAAGTTAAATAAGGAAAGCCCAAAATGGGGAAGACTTTACAGAGGTTATCGCCAACCTTCGCTAAGAAGACGGCACCCAAAGAAGAAAAAATTTCTTAGAACAAAAGTGGCTACAGAAATATATTTACAATTACAAACATCGTTAAAAGAGATCGGACAAAAAATGAATAGTTAAAAGACAAAAAAAGCTAACACGGGCAACCGCTAGAATAAATTGATGCACAATTCAATTAGAGGACGATTAACAGTAGAAAGTTTAACATATCTGGGAGGAGTTGCAGTAAGCATGGATGGAACAGAAAAACCAGATACTCAGCAAAAAATACTAAAGGGAAAAAACGTATTTTTTACTCGTTTATATGTTAAGAAGATCCAATAACACATACTGGAGATCGAAAAATAAGGTCTACAAATGTATTACCAGACAAATAATATGTTATCAGATACAAATGATGACAGAAAACCTAAACACAAAGCTGCAAGCATTTTAAAGAATAGCTATAAGACACATGTTTAAATATATTAACGAAAACGAACTATGGATAATAATTGTACCATAAACTGTACAAACTGTTCAAAGAGAAACCGATCTCAAAATTTGTTCAGAGAGTTTAATGGAATGAGTTCATGAAGTTAGAATACATAAGAAAAACAACAAAAAACATAAGAGGAAGAAGTGGCAATTTGCTAGACGTAGGAACTTGGAGAAGGTCGACTGTGATCCAGCAAAGTTGAAGATTTAGTCAGAATTGGGCCAAGGGTCGTTTTGGGCTGCAATGCCATACCATATAACAAAAAAGCAGCATAAAAATAATTTGATATAAAATAACATTGCTTAAGAATAATAAAAGGCGCCAAAAGAGATAAAAAAAAAGAAAATTCCACTTACCGACGCAAACTAAAATAGCCAAAACACAAGAAGTCTTCATGTCTGCAAATAATATTGTAAAATGAGGTAATCTGGTTATGTAGCTTTATATAGTAAAAAAAATTAATCACTTGAATAAAAACTCTATGTACTGTGTACTGGAATTTCCCATAATATGTTTCCAGGCTTACCTTAATTTGCGTTGTGATAACACTCAAGAAGGTATTGTTATAAAATGAGGATATTCCAGATAAGTAAAACAATAAATATAATTTAAGTTGTAAAAATGTGAATCACATTTTCTTGTAGGAATAAAAACCAAAGACTAAAATTATGAATGAATGAATTATGTAGCAAAAATGGATGACCGGTAAAATATTGCAGATGATGGAATAGCGAAGAAAATTAAATGGTAGAAATGACAAATAATAAGAAAAGTGGCAGCGAAGACTATACTAAAGGAGATAAAAGCAGCGAAAAAAGCATATCTGATGGAAAAATGTATGAAAGTTGAAACACTACAACGTAAACATGACGATTTCCATATGCGCGAAAAAATTAAAGTGGTACATAATACCAGAAAACAAAGCAATACAGGCATAGTTTTAGACATTAAAGGCCAGATTTTGACGACCATTGAAGATAAATGACGAAGATGAAAAGAATATATTATGCAAGAATTATTCGAAGATGCAACACGAAGTCCGACTGTAATAAACAATCCCTACGGCCCAGAAATAACAAACGAAGAAGTAACTATGGCCATTAAGCGGAAAAAAAGAATAAAAATCACCAGGACCTGAAGAGGTGCATGGTGCAGTCTTACAGCTCTTACGAAGCTATTCAACAACACCTACGAGACTGTTTACTTACCAAAAGACTGCAACTATCAATATTCGTTATTCTTCCTAAAAAGCAAATGCTAGAAAATTTGACAAACATAGATTAATTAGTTTGATGAGCCATGTACTTAAAGTACTCCTAACTATTATTCACTCGCGCATACACACCAAATTAGAAAAACACCTTGTAGCGTTTTATATTTAATGTCTAAATAATAATATAAATTCGATTCTATATTTGTCATAGTACGCCCCTGGTATGCTAGAAATGTGTTGTGTGTAGAGATTTTTAAATACGCAATAATTCTTCAATAAATAAAGACATATTTGCTAAGGAAAACAATTTATGGCTTTTTAAATTTAACGTTCTCAGAAAAATATTGCAAGCCTGGTATTCTTTTTTCTAAAGCGTAATAACGCCGGAAGTTTGGACGAGTTTGAGTAAAGAATTTATTGATTTGCTGGCAGGTTGAGACCCAGAAGGTCAAGAGGAGCAGTGATGAAGAATTGCTCGAAGGGAAAGGTCGTTTAATTGTGATGTGGTAACCCGAGATTAATTCGCCAAAAATGGTGGAATTTTCACTCTATGTAATATGTCGTATTTGAAAGAGTGACCACTAACCACTGTTTTGATTTTGCTAAAGATTTATAATGTTTGAGAAGTGAACAAGTTTAGTTCCTGCTTTCTTTTCGTTTTTTTTTTTGAGAAATCCAGTTCCTCTCCAAGATGCCTCTTCACCTCACGTAGAATGATATTGGAGCAGTTTTGATTTGAATGTGCCAGTAATGCCAGTGTGCCAATTTCAGCCTCCAATAAAGCTTTCTTTTAAAATGACAAAATTTGCTTTCTTTTATAAATTATTTAAAAAAAAAATTTGTAATTAAAATAAATATTATGTTTGGGCGTGGTTTAAACTGTCATCAGTCATAATTTTATCAAATATTATCCTGTCTTAAAAATGTTTGTTTTGACGTATGACAGTTTGATTTTGAATCTGTTGTAAAAGATATTTTGATTTTCTAGTAAAGATTAAATTTTATTTCTCACAAAAGGATATCCATAAAATTTTAATCTAATTTGGCCACGTTATTTACTAGGAACCATTTCATTTTTGTAACCTCTTTGTAAACAGATAACATGTAAGTTTCTTTATTTGTATTTGACAACTATTTTTTATAGTATGCCTTTTGTATAAGCTGTAATTTTGAAAACTGTTTGTTTGAGACAATAGTAAACGTTAGATTTGTTTCTCTAACCTATTTTTTTATTTTTATTTAGAAAAATCTCCCAAACCTTTTTATGTATTTTAGATATTAGGGAAGAAGAATTTTTTCTTTCCTTCAGTACACTAGGATCCTTCAAGTGGCGCCCTATATTAAATTCCTTGAGGTGTTCCCAGTCTATTTTTGATTTGTTTGTTATATCAATTGCCCAGGATTTATGTAAGTATCCCTTTGTCTTCATTTTAGTAGATACCCCAATCCAACCCCCATATTTCAACTTATCCACGACCCAGCTCTCCAATAACCAACTAAGTGTCGTTCGCACTTGTTTCGATTATTTTGTTTGCCCAATCTTCTACTCCTCATGTTCCTACCCTGAGCTAAGCAAAATATTGTCGTTACAACCTGAGTGAAGCTCAATTTGGAGTCAGAGCAGAATTCAGAACGGGGGAACCACTTTTTAGTTTGCAAGTTCTACTGCCGAGAGCCAGGGATGTCAACTGTGATGTGTATGCATGTTTCATTGATTTCGAATGCTGAATTGTGGTAATCAGTTTGGTTCTAGCCCTAATTCTTTTAAGAGTAATTAAGTTTTCTAGTTTTTTGTACCGTTTGAACTTTTGAAGAGTTTTCTTACTTTACTTAATAGCTTCTTTACATTTTTCATTCAAACAGGGAGTCAAATTATTTGTTTTATAGAATTTAGTCATTTGTAAGAAGGCTTTTCTGGACTTTTAATGCTTAATTTTATTTTCTGGAGATCATTATCATCATGATTTATTTCTGAAAATGGTTCCATTGCTTATTTACTAGTATACCCAGATATAATGTATGTTGACACTCTATAATCTATAATACAAAAATGAATAAGCGCATAACTCAACAACGCATGTACCAATCTTAACAGTTTTTTTTTAAATCTTCCATGAAGTCTAAGGATAGTTTTTACGTCATGAAAAATTCGAATAATTTCTGGGTAAAAACCCTAAAACAGCCCTTTTCTTTTTACCATACAAATATTTTCTTACTAAATGTAGAGTCAATTTAAACTTTATTGCTATTCAATAAAATTTATACTAAATTACAAGAAGTACCCACTGTTGTCTAAACAATCTATTGTAACGTCTAATCTTATAAAGACCAGGATGTTAAGCAACACCATACAATTGGAAGAAACGAGGGAAGAAATTCTTCGAATATCCCTATGGATATTCAAAAGAAAAATGCCCACCTTTCCATCCACCAGAATGGTGCTCTGCCCGACTGCTCAGCCCTGGGTTCGTTCCCTGTTCATTTTCTGCCTACACCAATCCCAGAAAGGTACAGAAAATAAAAATACTTGTTAAGGCATAACAAAACGTATTTATTTATTTATAAAATAAAACAAAAACTAAATTTATAATATGAATATGAAACAAAGATAAATAAACTAAAGACGCAAAGATTAAGCTGGTTGTCGGTATGGAATAACTAGAATATAATAAATGTACTCAGCTTTATTTTGTTTGGAATGAGTTGTCTCGTCTTTCAGGAAGGGTTCCGATCCCTGTTGAATCTATCCATTGTAGGTGGATTTAAGGATTGTTGCTGGTCTACATAATGGCAATTTTCTTCCCATGTTACTAAAGGGATTTCATATTCCGTGCTGATGCATCAGTGGCTTGTTATCTGGTTGCTGAATGTTGCCCAAGGTATTGCGATTGGCTGTTTTCAGAGTATTCAGGTATTCAATAATTTCTGGGTAAAAACCCTAAAACTGTCCTTGTTCCCATACAAATATTTTCTAAGCAAATGTAGAGTCAATTTGAACTTTATCGCTATTCAATAAAGTTTATATTTAGTTACAAGCACTCAATGTTGTCTAAACAATCTATAATACCATATAGATTGTATAAACCTGACATATATACCCGACCATTCATATAAAGAAATCGCTATCATCATGGGAGATTTAAACTCAAAAATCGGTGTTACTATGGCTGACGAACATATACGAAATATTGTGGGTAGATATGGAATAGGTAAACGCAATTCAAGGGGAGACCGCCTTATCCATTTCTGCGTTGACAATGACTTGACAATAATGAACTCTATGTATAGGCACCACCCCAGAAGATTGTACACTTGGATCTCACCTACCGGACGACACCGAAATCAGATCGATTACATAATGATTAAACATCGCTGGAAAACATCTATTAGCCAATGTAAAACACGACCCAGCGCTGACTGCGGTTCTGACCACCAACTTCTTGTTGCAACGCTAAAGCAAAAATTCAAGGCATGTGCTAGGATCCGAAACAAGAGGATATCAAAAATAAAAGATACACAACAATTTAAAATCCAATGTAATGAAAGATTCGAAAATATTTTACCAACTATCGTCACTCATGATTCCGAAAAGATTTGGTTATCTTTTAAAAATACCTTGATACAGACCTTGACTGACTGCGAGGCACAGTCTAGTGCCGTCTCAACCGGACCAAAAAAAGTGTGGATGTCTGCAGATACTTTTGACCTCGTTAAAGAACGTAGAAAACTTAAAATTGCTGGAATCGAGAACCCTCTCAGGAATTCCCAGTACCGACAGCTATCTAGAGCTATTCAGGCTGCTTGTAGACGAGACAAAAACAAGCATATAGAGAAAATCTGCAGAGAAATTCAACTACACGCCGACACTAATAACACCAAAGAACTCTTTGATAAAGTCAGACAACTCACACGTAAATTCAAGCAGAAATCTTGGTCTATCAAAGATGATGAAGGTCATGTACAGACGGATTTGGACAAGGTTATTGATGTTTGAAGGACGTATTGTAAGTCTTTATACGCCAATACGGACCAGATGCCAGCGGACGGACGGACGGACGGACGCCCCGTTTGTACCTGACTGCCAGACCTCCACTTTCCATTCTCCTTCAACAGAGATACACCACACTAGTTTTGAGTCTGAACCTGACATACTTTTTTCCGAGGTGGAATTCGCTTTAAAAAGACTTAAGTTAAACAAAGCAGCAGGATATGATCTCATTACTGCAGACGTCTTGAAGCATCTTCCGGAATGTGGAGTGAAAATATTACATCGATTGTGCAATGAAATATGGCACACAGGCGTCTGGCCTGAGGATTGGAGAAAGACCATAATCATACCTCTTCTTAAGAAAGGTTTAACAAATAATTGTAACAGGCTATTAGCTCTAATATCACACGCCAGTAAGGTGATCCTCTACATACTGCAACGGCATCTAGAAAACTTAATAAGTTGGCAAATAGCACCTGAGCAGGCTGGATTTGTAAAGGGCAGAAGTACTAGAGAACAAATCCTTAATGTACGAAACATCATAGAAAAAGCCAGAGAATACCAGATCCCGATATTTATATGTTTCGTCGATTATACAAAGGCCTTTGATAATGTTAGATGGGACAAACTATGGAACATATTGACGACAATGGGTGTACCAAAACACTTGACTCACCTTATTAGCAAACTGTATCAAGACGCCTTTGAAATGTGGACATGGAGACGCCTGCTTCGAATTCCATGGACGGCTCGCCGTACAAATATCTCGGTTCTTGATGAAATTAAACCGGATCAGAGTCTCTCCAGTACCGTTTACTCTAGAATTTTAAAGTTTTTTGGCCATATCCATCGAAGTGATCACAAAATGGAGCGGTTGGTGGTCCAAGGAAGGCCTCAGACTCAACGCCAACGCGGAAGATCTCGACAGCGATGGGCGGACATTACTAAAAAGCTTCTCAATAAACAGTATACTGAGGCAATACATATAACTGATGACCGCGACCAGTGGAGAAATATTATCAATCAAACTGTCCGAGCTGCTGAAGCCCAATTATGAACCGCAACACATCTACTAAGATGTTAATGACTGTGATGATGATATACCCGACCAAATTAAAAAGTCAAAAGTTATAAGAGCTATAGATTTGATTGGCCTCGCAATATTCTATCTTATGTTTTATTTTCGTAACGCGAAATAAATTGCATCCGTTTTTACGTTGTTGAATCTGCCAAACACACCGATGTTTGTTTCCAAAAGGTGTTTCTAGATGTTACTCAAAATTACAGAAACCATGAGTGGTTAAGCAAACGGTCTATATTGGCTGCAAAAAGTATAGATGTAAATGAATTAAATTTCAAAATTCAAGAACAAATTACAGGCGAATTCTTCTTCTTCTTCGGATGCAAATCGACTAATGGATGTTAGCGATCACATTTTCCATTAATTCTCTATTTCTTGCAATATGTATCAGATATTGTATGTCGTTAATCCCTGTGCATTGCCTTATGTTTCGGAGCCAGGACATTTTCTTGCGTCCCATTCCTCTCTTGCCTTCAATTTTACCCTCGATTATAAGTTGGAGGAACTGGTATTTTTCATTTCGCATGATGTGACCTAGATACGCCGTTTTCCTTTTCTTGATGGGCTAATGAGCATATATAAATCAATTGATTTGGTTACTAAGCAAGACGATATAGTTAACTATCCGCCTAAATTTTTAAACTCACTGGATTTACCAGGATTGTCTTTTGACAATCTTCAATTAAAGATTGGATCGGTAGTTATAATGTTGACAAATATCAACCAACCGCGTCTTTGCAACGGCACACGGTTAGCGATAAAAAAATTATTGAACAATGTGATAGAAGCAACTATACTGAAGTAAAGTATAAAGGAAATGTTTTGATTCCACGAATCCTAATAATTCTGACTGATATACCATTTGAATTTAAATGACTACAATTTCCAGTGTCGCTTGCTTTTGCTATGACCATAAATAGAACCCAAGAGCAATCATCAGGTGTTTGTGGTATTAATCTAGAAAACCCATGTTTCTCACATGGTCAATTGTATGTTGCCTGTTCCCGTGTTGGAAAACCATCAGATCTGTTTGTATATTGACCAGGTAATCCAAAAAAAATCATTGTATATCATAAAGTACTACAATAAAAATAAAACAGATTTTTGTTAATAATTATAATTCACTTGCTTTACAATAAAGAGCTTACTGAAAATACTTATGTACGTTTTATTTTATTATTCTTTATTTCATCGGGTATTAACCCTATGTTAATAATAATAATAAATAATTAAATACCTTTATGTTTTGTCATTGAAGCACCCACTTTATAAATATTTGTCACCTTTAGGTTTTCACTATCCCTATAGATTATTTTTCAATCAGGTTTGAACCTTAAGTCCCCCTCTTAGTTTGAAGCCCTTTGGCAGACGTGCTAATCGAGGTTTTTAGTGGTTCCAAAAGGCCGGCCGAAGTTCATCGAGGCGAAGTTACTTAGGTCACCCGAGATGACCCTCACCCGAGAATTAAAGAAATGAACTACCATATTGCAAATCTATTTGACAGAACGAAGTCTGTCGGGTCCGCTAGTTTTCTATACATTCTGTAAGTTTCTAATAAATGGCAAATTATACTTTTTTAATTCCTATTTTGCTAATTATCATGACTTTTATTTGTTTGCTGTTAACTTTACCTACTGTTCATTTAAAGCTTTCATACTAATCAGACAAATTACTGGGTCGCTATGTATTAGTACTCCTACTTCCACTAATTTTAGGATTTTCCCTTGCATAATTCTTATTTCTTTTGTAATTTCCTCATTGTTCATTTAACAAAATCTCATTAAAATGTAAGAAAATTGGCAGAAGTGAATGTAATCAAAATGTGTTGTTCTAGTAATCAGACATGAACAAGTATGAAGTGTTACTTTTAATTGCTAAAACAAAAGAATATAATGCTTGACACCAAATACTACAGTCTAAACAATATACCAAATAAATAACAAAGTATTTGTTTATTTTTTAAATAACATTTCTTTTAACAGTCATATTATTGTTGTTCACAAAATTCCAAAAATTCGCATATTTCTTGGGGCGTTGTGCTATTCAGCTGGTTGTAGATATTATCGACTTCTGGAAGGAGTTTTTCTTCGCATAAATCTTCCAAGTCTCCTGGTAAAATCTTACACAATTCTTTTACTTCTTCTTCAACTTCACTCTGCAAGAAAAATATATGTTTATTAATATAATTGAAACGTGAAATACAAATTTAAACTACTTATTGTTTTTAAATTGCCGTAACAAAAATTACATTTTTTTGGAAAGCTTTTAATATTACAGAACTTTTTACTATATAGAAAATACAGTATTGATACTACTAGCTCTATAATTAAGTTTAATCGATGAGGCATACATTGTGATCTGGTTTTTGTTTTGTTTCTCGAATTTTTGTTTATGATATTTTTAAATGATAGAATACACTGGCTTATAGGGCAGTATTTACAGTGGGGATCCTGGTTTATACAGAGAAATGCATGCGGGTATGGGGTAATACTGCACTTTGGTTGCATTTGTGGTGTATGGACTGAATTGTGCAGCATATAATGCTGATAGAATAGTCATTTAGGCATCAAATGTCTGCTCCAAATACTGCTCTAATAACATTTGGAAATTGGCAGGAAAGAAGTTTGAGACTAAGGGGACCTGGTGGTGGTCTAACAAAGTGTCAGAACAAATAAGAGAGAAAAAAGGATTATATAAACAATAGCAAGAGAATGGGTCAGACACAGATCTTTAAAACTATACAGTGGCCAAAAAGGACGAAAAAATAGCAGTAAAAAAAGCTAAAGCAAAAGCGTACAATATAATCTACATGATTTATGTGGAATCTATACGGAACGACAAGCCAACATTAGTTCTGGCTCAAATAATAGCGAAACTACAGAGTAATATTTCGTAGTTCTTAATGTATGCTAGTGATGTAGTGTTACAGTGGAGATAAGCTCTTGAAGAAATAGGTTTAAAACTTCGATGGCATTTGTTATTCAATTATTATCAAATATTATCATTATTCAATGTGAAATAGAAAAAGGTAAATATTACTTAAAAAGCTTACCAATGGAATGTCTTTTCGTACGTATTCCTGGACCACGTTTGCCAATCCTACGCAGGCATCGCACAAGAAGCTGCAACAAAATAAATTTTTTACTATGTAAATAAAATAAATTTATTAAAATAAAAAAAATCCACAAGGAAAACAATTCCTGTAGCTGGCTGTATACCACGTATCACATAAAAGAGGTTAGTCTTCGTAAGTGGATATATTTATTTAAAAAAACCCTTAAATCAACTACAGGGCTACATCAAAAAAACAAACGTTTTCGGACTAAACATCATCAGGTTTAAAATTGCTAGGACAAAATGCTTGAGCCACCAAAATACCAAAATGTGATGTTAAATATTAAATTGAATTTGACTTCAGGTAACATGCTTGAAGTGAGTTCCAGTGTCCGGAGAGTAAACCTAGTTACCAGCTGTAGTCCGTTTGAAGAGGTTTACTCTCCAGACACTGGTACTCACTTCAAGCATGTTACCTGAAGTCAAATTCAATTTAATATTTAACATCACATTTTAATAACAACAATATGTACAATCTTTAATAACTACATGTAATTTAAAGGGTTTTTACCCTGGTATTTTGGTGGCTCAGGCATTTTAACCTAGCAATTTTAAACCTGATGATGTTTAGTCCAAAAACGTTTGTTTTTTTGATGTAGCCCTTTTAAGGGTTTTTTAAATAAATATACCCACTTACGAAGACTAACTTCTTTTTTTTAATAAAATTAGTTTTTATGTTAGCAAGCACCCCACAACCCTAAATAGTACACTCGTCGGAGACAAAAATGCTACTGAACTTTTAAAAATTGTACGAACAGGCTAAACTTTGCTAAAATTATCAAACGTGGGACCTTAAAAAAACTAAAGAAAAATTTGCACTCATAGCCCCGGGAGGGCTTCTCTTTAAAACTTATGTGCTCTATATTATGTTGCAGTGTGAACAGGGTAATAATTATCTTGTTGGAGGATAAAATTAAAATATTCAGATAAGTCTTCCCAACAAACCTGCCATCAATACACCATCTCATTTTCATTCCTCTAGATGACATTATTTCCTATACATTGGCGCTAAAATGACCAGTTGCTCGATATCTATCAACATAAAAAGGATTAAATTTTTTATTATCTGGTCTAATACACCCTAATTTTGCCCTTTGCAGAAGATTGAAAAATTTTCTTATCTGTAAATATTCTGTCCCAGAAATCTTGATATTGTAGCTGATTCTTTAAAGCAAATATAAGTCTTGATTGCTTCTGTTGTGATTTAAGAGCTTGTTTTTTGCTGTAGTTCAGTACCTAAGACGCAATGCTTTAATTCTGCGCAAAGCTGTTGTCTTTCTTCCCGGCAATTGTGATAAAATTCTTGCAATTTTCGCATCTTCAAAATAATTATCTTCTAATCTCTCCAAAAGCGTACGATCTTTATGAGGGTAGATATTCTTGGTCTTCCAGAACCTTGCTTACTTCCGAGAATTTCTTGTTTTCTTCGTTCTTTATTAATATTAAAAGCTGTTGCTCTGCTTACGCTAAAATGGTTTGCTATGGCAGATAGTGACTAACGATCTTCTAATATCGTTACAATTCTTGTTTTTAGTTCTTTGCTAGAATGCTTAGCCATTTTTTGTCATTGAACAGAATAAGTTATCTGACAAATTTTAATATTTTGCAGTGACAGTAATAGTATGCAAATAATAAGTATTTATCCTTCAAAATACACTGCTCAGTTTTCTACAAAATACGCCTTAAGACTCATATTAGGTTTTTAATGAACCAGGACCTACCAAGAATCTTGACATTGTAAAAAAATATTTTGTTTTCCAAAAGACATGAAGCTAAAATATTTGAGAATCAACGCTTAAAAAGGACAGACGACTTTGAATATCAATTACGCCCGCGAAATAAATGTAACCATTCAACAACACTTTTTAAACGTTGGGTACCAATGGGTAACAATATACTTTACTTTACTTAATCAGTAGACCCATTTGTACTTTTCGGTGTTGGGCCGTTTATAATAGAATTCATTAAATTACAATATTTTACAATCTTTTGAGGTGTCCTAGCTCTTAACGAACCCTTACTCTGCAGTATCTGTGAGATGTTATGTTCCATTCTTTAATGGGTCTTCCTTTTCTGTTCTTCCCTATTGGTTTGGCGTCTCACACTCTTTTTACTTGTCTATTATTATTGTCCATCCCGGTTAGATGTCAGACCCATGCCAATTTTTTCTCCTTGATTGAATCGAGTATTGGTTTGATTTTGAGTCTTTCTCTTATTTCTTCATTTCTGGTTCTCTCAGTTCTTTTTACTTCAATCGGTAATTCATCTCTGCTGACTGAATTCTGCTTTGATGCTTTTTGTTTGTATCCAATGAAGGTCTACAATATGTCACTGTAGGTCTATATATTGTTTTGTATATTGTCATCTTAGAGACACAGACACTTACAAATATTTGGGACACGAAATCAAAATAAGCAGAGACAATCAAACACATGAAATACAGAGGCGAATAGGTCTAACATGGGCAGCATTTGGCAAAGTAAGCCATATTCTAAAAAGTTCAATTCCCATGTGTCTCAAGCGAAAGGTTTATAACCAATGTGTTTTACCTGTACAAACTTATGGAGCAGAGACTTTAACACTCACGCAGAAATCTGCGAATAAACTTAGAGTTACACAACGAGCCATGGAACGTGCAATGCTGAACGTGAGCCTTCGAGACCACATAACAAACCAACAAATCAGGCGAAGATCAGGAGTTCAAGACGTCATCGAAAGAACCACGACGCTTAAGTGGAACTGGGCAGGGCACTTAGCCAGAACACAAGATGGACAGTGGACAAGACGTATTATGGAATGGAGGCCCAGAAATTATAAAAGAAGCCGAGGACGACCACCGACTAGATGGACCGATGACATTAAACGTGTAGCGGGAAACTGGCTACAAGCGGCCCAGTGTAGAGAACACTGGAAAGAACTGAGGGAGGCTTATGTCCAGCAGTGGACGCGATTGGCTGATTGATGATGATGATGATATTGTCATCTTGGTCTTTGTTGAAATTTTTTTGTTATTAAGAAATCCTCTATTTAGCGCTTGGAATATTTTTCCTATGTTTTCAATTCTTTTCCTGTTGTTAAGATCGTCCTCGATTTCTCCTTTGTTGTTGCTTGCTGTTCCTAAGTATTTGTATGAATTTGTCTGTATTATTTTTTGTTTGTCTATCATATTTCTTTTTCATGTGTTTGGCTATTTCTGTTGATATTTTGCCTGTATATATGATCAAGCAGAAGATGCAGAGTTTTTTCTATGACGGTTAAAAAACTAATTTCAGGGCTTTCTTGCGTAGTTTTTGATTTAACATTTTATTATTGTTTGCTCACTCTATCCATTGCTTACTGCTATTTGCTCAGCGATATTTAATTCTATCTCAAAGTTGTTTTTTAGCATCGGAATTTATATTAATCCACGTAATATGCTATGGTAGGCTGCCAAGTCAAGCTAAATGAGCAACTTGAGGTAAACAGTTCTCCCGCAACCCTCTCTGTGGCTCAGTGGTAAGAGCGACTACCTTTAAACCTGAAGGTCGTGAGTTCGAATCCCATCTGGGTGGAGAAATTTTCGTTTAATAAAAATTAATGAATGAAAATAATTTCTATCCACGTGCGCTCGGTACTCACCGGAGGAACCGCAGACGTTCGGATACAATTAGCGTCTCTTAGCAAAGACAATGACGTCGACTTTGCTAAGTATCAAGACAATTACATACTCTACACACACATACACACATTACACTAGGTACCTGACTGTACATAATATCAAAAACAGATCACTTGAGAAAGGCAATCTGGCCGAACAGCAATAGTGTTAATAAATTTTGTCGAAGTTGTGAAAACAAAAGTTGTCACTGTTTTATTATTATAAAAAGAATATTATAAACTACAGTAAATACCCAATAATCGCATCAGAACCAACAACATATTATCTCAAAAAAACAACAACAAAGTACAAGTCAAAATACAATCGTGGAAATCTTTAAGATTTACACAAGGCACATTGTTATCAAATCATATCTTGTTCTAAAGGTATATTATCAAACTAATTTATTTTATCTTTTTCATTGAAATAAATCCATTTAATTTTTATTTTTACGTTTAATAACATTGATTTAGAAAAAAAATACCTCTTCTTATCTTATCAGAACTTGAAAATTATACGTAAAATCTTACAGCTCAAGTTAAAATAATACTAGTTAAAGTGGTATTACTTTTATACTTTTAAATATTAATTTAGATTCATCATATCTAAAAAACTGAATCTTTTCATTGATAAAAACAAAATAGCAAATTAGGTAATTATTTTTTTGTTTCTTAAAAATATTTTATTTTATTCTCTTCCTTATTCTTATACATAGATTCTAGATCTCTCGATTTTATTTAAAATTAAAAATTTAACAAAATTCTCTTTTTCTTTACAAATAGTTTATGCCTTATGCTTGGTTTGTTGACAAAATGAAAAAAGTTAGTTAAATATATTTTTTTACCAAGATCTACTATTTTTCATCTCACACCTTACTGGGTGGTGAATCGCCAAACGGGCCATAGGAAACTGAATACGAAATTCTAAATTGGTAAATTTCTGCTTCCCTAATTATTTTATATCAAAAGTCATAAAAAACTATTTGTAGAGATCTAAATTAATTCAGGCAATAGTGCAAGCACTGCCAGATCTTTATTTAACGTAAGATATTATAATAGACTCCAATTCAATTGCAGGTTATACAACCAATTCAAATAATTTAAATATAGTTTTACTGTGATCCTTCCTAAAAATAATTTATGATAATTTGTAAACATAAAACTATAACAAATGTTCAAACAACAATAACTATAACATTTTATACTTAGTATCCCATTGTAAAATTCTCGTCTAATATTAGCCAGAAAGCTTGGCGTTGTTTTTACATTCTTCAATAATTCGCGTTTTTAATGCTTTAATATCTGTAAATTTTTGGTCAGACTAGATTTTTGATTTTAGATTCCCCCAGATAAAATAATTGTTTGGAGCTACTTCTTTTTCTTTGAGTACCGTGCCCAAGTTTTAAGCGTGGCTAGCTTCTATGACGATTTGCTGATATCGTTCTCGATCTTGTGCGACATGTAATAATTCATCTGCTGTTAAGCCAGTCCATTGACGAAGGTTTTAGAGCCATAAATATTTCTTTGTATCAATTCCTCTTCTTCTGTCGGTCTTTCCGTTGAGTATCAACTGCATTATCCTGTATCTGCTTCCTCTTATAATATGCCCCAGATATTTGAGTTTTTTCTATTTTATCATCTTTATTGAGTCACCTTTACTTTGACTTATTCTGTTCAAGACTTCTCTGTTTGAAATGTGTTGAATGTAAGATATTCTGAGCATTCTACGATATAACCACATCTCGAAGGCTTCTAATTGGTTCATCATGTTAACCGTTATAGTCCAGGTTTCACATCCATACAGTAATACAGAATACACATAACAGTTTAGGAACTTAATTCTCAGCTGTAAATTCAGCTGAGAATTGCTCAGAATAAATCCAAGCTCCTCTTGCAATTTTTATACGAGTTTTAATTTCTTCATCCAGATTTATTGTCTCGTTTATCCAACATCATAGGTATTTAAAATGGTTAGCCTTTTTTCTCGGTTCATTATTGACAATTAGTTGTCAATAGCGCTGAAGTCTTGTTTACTAACCAAAAGTAACTTTTTTTTGTTGTATTTATGCGTTGTTCGTTGTTAGAGCATTCTATAGTGATTTGATTTATAAAGAATTGAAGATCTTTCATACTTTTAGCCATGATTGCGGTGTTATTTGCATATATGATGTTATTAATAGTTTCTCGAGATTAGAACTCCACATTGCCCTTTCAAGGCTTTGCTAAAAATTATTTCTAAGTAAACGTTAAACAAAGTTGGGGACAACACACAACCCTGTCTTACATCTCTTTAAATACAAATTTTGTCTGTTTCTTTGCCGTCTACCAGAATAGAAGCTTCTTGATTTCAATATAGATGTTGTAAGTCTTAGATCTTTACTATCTATTCCAATTATTTCTATATATTCAAATAGCCTACCATGTTAAACCCTATAAAACGCCTTTTTTTCGTTTATGTACTTTCCATGTTCGTTGAAGTAGTGTCAGTATTGAGAACAAAGCTTTTCTTGTTTCCAATTCTCCTCTGAAACCGAATTGTTTATTTCCCATTGTCTTCACATTTTTGCTTGAATATATTAAGAATTATTCTAAGCAGTATCTTGAGTTAATTACTATTTAACTGGGAATAAGCCACAATTAAAGATAAAAATACGTTTATTGACGTTTCAATTTCCACTTTGAAAATCGTTCTCAAAATACAAACAGTAAATTACTAAACAGTCAGGATGGGAAATTATAGACCTTTAGGCACTAAATCACATATTAATGATTAAAATTATTATAATTAACTGATATATTTGGAAGAAACCGACTTAACATAAAACCTTGAGCACTTAATGGTGAATTGTAGACAAGTATTGTTATGCTATCTTTTGAATATTATTATTTATATTTGATACAATCAACTGATAAACTTTTGAGACAATTTGAAATGATTTTAATTTATCCCGACAATTATTACAAACCACAATCAGGTCAGCATAATTATTATATGTATAAACAAATTTTTCATTTTCTTCATTGTTACTTACTCATTCTTTTGGGCGCTCACGGTTAGACCTAGAAAAGAAATATTTCAGTATGTTAGAAAATCCTCTTAACTATTTTATTGTATGGTAATTACCTAAGATTTGAATTAAAAATATTTAATACGTAATTGCTGTTTTAAATTCCGAAAAAACATTGAATTTTGAAAAATTACGTAGATAGTAAACTGAAGGGCGTTAGATTAAAAACAAGCCCACAGACTAAACCAAAGGATGAAATGGCAATGAAAGTGCAAAATTTACTAAGCGTGAGAACTTTTAAGAAGATCATAATAATAAAAACAAATCTGACATACAATAACATTGCTTTAAGCCCAAAAGAAGTAATAAACGGTAAATAAATATGGAAAAAAAAGAGCTGGAAATGAGAAAGTAGACAGCCTAGCAAACACAAGTAAATTAAACTCAGAATACACAACCAAATCAAGAAATTACGAAAACTCCTATCTCAAAATTAGAACTTAAGACCACTGTATGCGTATATGGCAAGACTACTGGAAAGATTCAGGAACCAAACTATAATATGAGATTTATCGCTTTTTAAAGAATATCTTGAATAATCCATCCAATAGAAGGAACCAAGTAATTATTTATTTAGCGTATTGCTACATCATAGGTTCATATAACATTATATATACAGGGTGGTCCTTAAGTAATTGTACAAAAAGACACCGTAGATTCTACACTTTACAATATTACGATTTAAGTCAAGTTGCTTTAATAAAATGTTGATATTAAGAAAGATACAGGGTGTTAAAGTGGAAATTTAAAATTTTATTTTTCGTTATAACTTTTATGTTTGTCAACATTTATGTATAAAAATTTATGATATCATATTGTATCAGCCCAAGTGTCTGACGATGGCTGGGATAGGCCGAAATGATCATAACACTTTAGTGATACCAATTCGAGCACGGGAAGTTTAACGAATTTGTCTCCTAGGCCATATAGTTGGCCATTTAATATATAAAGCGATAGCGGCTTTCGCTAAAAGATTTAATTCTTTACACATTTCGCATAGCATAAAGGATACAGAAAACGATTATTCATATCGTTTCGTTCACGGCCTTCAAAGTAGAGGGCGCCTTTATAAGCTAACTACACGGTAGTAAAGATTTGGGAGACATTCGTTTTACTTTCCGAGTTTGAATTTGTATCAGCCCAAGTGTCTGACGATGGCTGGGATAGGCCGAAATGATCATAACACTTTAGTGATACCAATTCGAGCACGGGAAGTTTAACGAATTTGTCTCCTAGGCCATATAGTTGGCCATTTAATATATAAAGCGATAGCGGCTTTCGCTAAAAGATTTAATTCTTTATATATATATATATATATATATATATATATATATATATATATATATATATATATATATATATATATATATATATATATACAGTGTAGGTAAAATTTTAAGGTCGGTATGGTAAAATTTAACAGTATATCTAACGCAGATATAAAATCATATTTTCAGCGAATTAGACAAAGATAACAATCATATTTCCCCTTCGTCTCCCCTCCTAAAATTCTTTTAACACTCATTGGCCATTGCCCATTAGTGAGACGATTAGTTCCGATCAGATATTCTCTGGTTCCGATCCTAATATACCTAAAAAACTAGAGGTGGGTCCTCGTTTTTTAATTTACGAACGTTTTTCGTAAACTGTAACTAGTTGATTGTTTACCAGTATTCAAATTAGCGAGTACACAAACATATCGATACATTTTTGGCAAAGTAACGTAAGTCACCAAAAACGATTTGTAGAAAAAACAATTTTTTAATTCAACCTGCTTAAACTTATTTAAATTATGACTGAAAAAACTTGTCCTAAAAAAGGTTTAAAGTAAATCTAGGTTTACTACACTCTTTCAGTACCTTTTTAACAGTAATAGCATTAGTTTATATTGAAAAACATTATTTTCGCCAAAAATGTCACTTACGTTACTTTGCCAAAAATGTATCGATATTGGCTATTATCGTTTATGTGTATAAATATTGAAATAAAAGAACCTAACGAAGGATATATTTATTGTAACTTGATAAATAAATTAAATAATACAAATGGTACTTAAATACTTACATTTACATTACACATTATTAAATCGCGAATCGTCTAAATTGACATTTAAAAACATAAGTTTTTCCACCTTTCTTGTTAATCGCGTTCTTCTTTTATTTAAAATTATACCAGATGTTAAACATGTGTTCACAAGGAAAAGATTTTGTTACAATACTACAACATTTTATGAATATAGTGGTTAAGTTACGATATACATGGCGATGGTTTTTTCACCACGGTAATGGACAGTTCCAATCTCCGTTCGAAATTGTTTGTGGGTAATATCTCATCAGACAATTACATGTCGACTTCTTTTATACCTCTCGATACAGGTGTATGTTTAGATGAGTCATGTCCAATTAATTCATCAAAAATACACCATGGACTTAAGTCATCTTTATCAGTTTCTTTTTCTTGGACTGATTGATTTTCAAGATTTACTAAACTTTTCGTTTCATCCGTTTTCCATAGTTAAAGAACCAGCTTTTAAAAAGTTTGCAGGGTGGATTCCTGGATATAAACCGCCAACAAGAAAAACTTTGTCAGGTTCATTACTTCAGGAATGTTATGTCAAAAGTGAGCAAATTATTAGATCACAAGTTGTTAAAGAAGTAGAAAATATCTGTATTACTACTGACCTCTGGACATCTGGAGTAACTGAGAGTTACTTCGCATTAACAGGACAATATTTAACCGAAAATTTAGTATTCAAAACTTTTTTATTAGGCTGCTGCCATTTTTCTGGAAACCATAATCCAGAAAACAGCGATTACTGAAATTATTAATCAGTGGGGTCTAAAACGAAAAGTAAATTTTGCAGTAACTGATAATTGCTCAAATATGGTCAAAGTTATTAAATATGTTTTGTTTTATGATGATTGTGATTTATGATGATGATTAAATTTATTGGTGGGGGACGCACTTAAATGCTGTCGTGTACAAATAGATAAAATAAAAAGTCCTTTTTTCGACAATTCTGCAAAAAAACACATTTCAAAAAAGTACCTTATCTTCAGAAAGGCTTTTAAAGTATTAATTACAACAGAACACAGTTCCCAAACGGCCAATCCAAGACGTGGAAACTAGGTAGAACTTCACCTATTACATGTTAAAAAGAATGACCGAGTTAGAAGAGGCAACCCGTTCCACATTGGTATTAAATAATACAGACTTAGACTTAAACCTAATCTAAATAAAGAACACTGGATTATTTGTTCTCAACTTTCCCAAATTTTACGGCCGTTTAAAGAAATAACAAGTACAATGAGTGACCAAAAATACTTGAATGCTAGTTCAGTGATTGTTATGGTACGCTGCCTGCAAGAATCTTGCAATAAAATTTTAGCAAACGGCATACTTACATCCATAGTATCCGACATAGTACAATTACTAATATCGGGTTTAGCAAAAAGATTTAGAGGGATAGAACAGAGTGGCACATTGTCATTATGTACATTTATGGATTCACGATTTAAAGTGCAGAACAAAACAAAAAGTTAAGAAGCTGGTTACTTCTATAATTAACGAACAAGAAGATTGTACTATTGAAAATCAACCAGTACAAGAAAAAGAAACCAATAAATATGACTTAAGTCCATGGTGTATTTTTGATCAATTAATTGGAGATGACTCATCTACACGTACACCTGCATCGAGAGTCCATTACAAGAAAAACTTATGTTTTTATGTCAATTTAGACTATTCGCGATTTAATAATAACGTGTAATGTAAATGTAAGTCCGATTTACTATTTGTATTGTTTAGTTTATTTTTCAAGTTATAATAAATATATCATTAGGTAGTTTCTTTCAGTTCAAAAGATATACACATAAACGATAATAGCCGTTATGTTTGTTTATGTAGGTACTCTCTTACTTGAAACTACTTTTAAACAATCATAGTTACTTGTTTATGAAAATTAAAATTTTTAAATGCTTTTTAGCATTTAAAAATGCTTAAATGCTTTTTAGCATTTAAAAAAATTTAAATTTTTTTGGAATCCTGAGAAAACTAACAAATATTTTTGAAAAATTTAAATGCAGAATGAAAGATTACATTATTACCGAGGGCCGAAAGTCCCTTAGAATAAACAAAAAGTTTTTTTAATGAGATATTTAAAATTAAAAATCACACTAAATTTTGTTTTTTTTTTCATCCCTATAACTTATTAAAATAAACATTATAGAAGTTTTCAGGGACTTTCGGCTCTCGGTAATAATGTATTGTTTCATTCTGCGTTTAAATTTTTCAAAAATATTTATTAGTTTTCTCAGGATTCGAAAAAAATGAATGCTTTTAAAAAACATTGGCCCGAAATTTTGCTCCTACGCTATTAACGATAAACTAGCACGACCCACCTCTACTTCTCGTTACTGGATCTTTTGACCAGACGACTGTCTAGACTAGACGTTGCCAAAGAATTAGTGTATGAATATTTTTTAATGTGGCGTTATTGTATGCATGTTTAATTGTTTATTACTTCATATTGGGAAATTATTTTGATGTTTAGATTTTTAGTTCGGAAATCGTACTTAAAATACGAAACATTAATAAATTTTATTTATATAAAACGATTTCCGAAATGGAAATCAAAATGTTATATTACAATTATTGTAAAGAAAACTTGTGGCATATTCCCAATAAAAAAACAGTAACCTGCCATTTAAATCAATTTCGCCCAAATTTGATTATCTTGAGCATTTTATCTTCTTGATAGAACATTGTTCAAATGCAAAAAAGACAACAGGTCAAATAAAACCGATAAGTTTGGCAACGTTGAACTTCCCCTTTTTTATTATTTCTAGGCATGAAGGTTCGGTGATATAAAGGGCGTACCTAATATACCTCTCTCTTTTTAAACAGCTGTTTCTCACTCCATCTCACGTAAGGTCCATACCGACCATAAAATTTTTCCTACACTGTATATAAATTACAAACAACAGTAAATACAAAAATATTCTACAAACAAACATCTAGATTATAAAAATGTTCGATTGACTCTTTTGTAGTAACCAGGAAATCCGAAGTGTTGCCGTTATAGGATCTAATTGGGCATTCCTCTACTATGTGTTTTACTGTTTGCCTTTCGGCGCCGCAGTCGCAATTTGGTGATTGTATTTTTCCCCATCTAAAAAGTGAGTCGGAACATCTGCCACAGTTCGTCCTTATTCTATTGAGTGTGGTCCAAATTAGTATTGGTTGGTTGAAGCCCTCAAGTTTGCTTGTAATACATGGAATGTTCCAGTTAGCTGGTGCAGCGGTATTCTTCCATTGTTCTCTCCACCGTTCAGTTACATTAAAGTTTTGATCTACTAGCCTTTTTGCTGTTTTTAGAGGCGGGTGTCTTGAGCCTATTTATGTCTCTGGCGGAAGTTGCAGCATGGGAGCGGAGCTCAGAATCAGTATTGATTTTTTGTAAATTCTCTGACAAGGGCATGTTCCCGGCGGATGGTTGGTGGAGCTATATGACTCAAAGCTGGCAACCAGTAAGTGAGCGTGGCCATGATTGTGACCGATATAGTTCGCATGGCTTGGTTGAGTTGGACATCAACACGGTGAGTATGTCGACTGTTTAACGATACTGATGCACAGTATTCCGCTACGGGGTATACCAGTCCTAATGCTGTCGATCTAAGTGTGGGTGCTGAGGAGCCCCATGTTGTGTCGCAGAGCTTTTGCAGGATGTTGTTAAGGACCAAGTAATAATTAACCGACTAAGAATTGGACACACTGCACTGACCCATAAATTCATACTCAACAAAAAATTTTCTCCAACTTACAGAAACTGTTTCTCTCCCATTGACGGTGAAGCATATTCTGATTGACTGCCAGTACCACGAAGAAACAAGAAGAAAATATGGAATCTCAGATGACATCAAAACTGATTGCCAGTACAACGAAGAAATAAGAAGAAAATGTGGAATCTCAGATGACATCAAAACCACTTTAACCATAAACACTGACCATGTAATAAATTATTTAAAAGATTTATGTTTATATACATCTATTTAATGTAAATAAAATGAATTCTCGTGTACGTTACTCCACTAATAACCCTGCGTGGTTGATGTGAATTATGTTTTCTGAATAAAAAAAAAAGAAAAAAAAATGAAAAAGTCTAAAAATCAGATACAATACTAAAATGTTTTAACAAAACTACTTACCGACACAAACTAAAACAGCTAAAACAAAGGAAGTCTTCATCTTTGGAAATTATAGTGTAAAATAATGTAAACTGGTGGTGTAGCTTTATATAATAAAAAATTGGGCCACTTGAATAAAAACAATATGTATTATTGATATTTTGTTCTATCTTTCCAGACTTACCTCGGATTACTTAAGTGATAACATCGAATAACGTATTGTAATAAAATGAAGACATTTAAGATAAGCAAAATATTTAACATCTTTTTGTTATAATAATTCCAAAGTATTTTCAAGCAGTAATAAATCCAAACTAAAATTACTGTGTGACCATAAATCTGCACATTTTTTAACCTAGCAAACAGCCTATGATCTCTTAGACAGCAATCATAAGCCCATAATAATTTTTAAGAATTGTAGTAAAACAGTCATTGCCAAAAATTATTAGCCGCAAAGAAATCTAACTGGCCTACATATTCAACAGCCGTTGACTATTGGTAAGATTCTGGAATTAGTAGTAAATGATCTTCAAAAGAAAGTTGCTTCTCAAGACTTACTCTTTCCCATTTTAAACTTTTTAAAGCTAAATTTAGCAAAAAACGTTAATTCTTTTAATTCTAAAATATTTAGTAAATAAAATAATTCAAAACAGCTTTATATCTGTCAAGAGTTATACGCATGCTGAAAGACCCTAATACGAATATGAGAGTCCATAGAGTTGCCAGACCTTTTATAAAATTCCCCCAACCTGAACTACAAATTCCCCAAAAATGACATTTTAAACAAAAAAATCCCCCAAAATTTTAAATATATTTATTATTACATTTTGCAAGTTGGTTATATGTTATATAATATGTTTTATGCATAGAATAATTTGTTTATAGGACATGACAGAAACTCGAAACAAATGAGAATAGATGAAGAGTTCTATTGGCATTTTTTTTTCTTTGTCTTGGACACTTGTCATTCAGCCAGTCTCCATCAACATAAGTTTTTTTAAAGAATTTAAATATGTCAATTATTGAAACATGATTAATATAATAATAATAACAGCTAAGCTAATGTACATACTATGCTACTATGTTAATAAATACTATATCATACCTTTATTATAATTTAGTTATGAGAGACGTCATCAGAAATTCATAGTGTATACATCTTACAAATCAAAAAAAAATAAAAATAAAGATAAAGATATCTACCTACTATGTTAATAACTATAAATGGTAATATGTACATTTTTTTTTCACTACGTTAGGACATAAACCCGATTCAACATCTCGGAGGTTGAGATCCTCTTAGTGATGGTTTTAGTATATTTTTATTTATTTATTTTTTCCTATTTTGTTCTTTTTTTTAATGTAATTTTATAATCATCTTTTTTCTTTTTTTTAATATAATTTTTTTTCTTTTTAAATCTATTTTTTTGAGTATTTTTTTATATTCTTTTTATTTTATTTTTTTTGAACTTTTTTTTTAATAATTTTTTTTTATATTTTTTTTTTCATGAATTTTTTCTAAACATAGGTTACAAATCTTACTAATTACAGGCATACTTTACTATCTGACAAAAAGGTTATCAAGCAGTTATACATTTTCTCCTCATTGAGTGATAGTAGAAAGAGAATATTAACAGGAAGAGGGATGTTCTTGTCTATCATTCTTTTAATTAGGTTGTTGGTGGGTTGTTTATACTTTGGACGTTTAAAAATATGTGGTTTAAGTCACTTTTAATCTGACATTCTTGACAAATATCCGAATCTAATATATTTATTTTAAATAAATATACAGGATAACATGCATAGCCAAATCTAAGTCTACTGACGGTAGTTATGTATTTGCGAGGGAGGACGAAATTCTTATACCAAGGTTGTTTTGGAATAATTGGTTGTATCAAACTGTATTGTGTTGTTGAAATACTACAGTACTTTTTTCAGTGTTCTTTCTATTGGCTTTAGATTGCTTGATCCAGATTTAATTGCTTTGATTGGATTCCTTGATTTCAGCCACAATATACATATAATAAATGAGTATTTGCTACAATATTAAATATAAGAACATGTACATATGCGAACATATAAATACTTATGCACTTACTTATATAGATATTCTTCTTCTTCGCGTGCAATATCAGAATTATCCGACGTTAGAGATCACCACTGCGAACGCTTCTATATCTTCTGTAATATGGAATAATTGTCCTGCATTTGGTATCTGAGTCTATTCACGAATCTTTTTTAACCAAAAAACTTGTTTTCTTCATACACCTCTACGGCACTCTATTTTGCCTTTAAGGATCAGTTCTAAAATTTTTTATCGACTTCCTCTTACCATATGTCCCAGATAAGACATTTTTCGATGTTAAACAGTCTTTAGCAGTTCTCTGTCTTTGTTTACGCTCCTTAGTAATTCTTCATTATTTTTTCTTGCTGTCCAAGGTATCTTCAGCATTCGTCTATGAACCCACATTTCTTATGCTTCAATTTTGTTTATGATCGATGCTTTTAGCGTCCACCCTTTAACACTATACAAAAGTACAGACCAAACATAGCACTTAACCATTCTTTGCCTTAGTTCTAAACTGAGATGGTTATTGCAAAGAAATGACTTCATTTTCATAAAAGTAGTTTTAGTCATTGCTATTCTACGTTTTATTTCTATGATATACATAGGTTTTATTTCATAGATATACATACATCATATACATAGTATATACTAATTGAAAAGTAAAAAATACAAAAAAGGAAGTGAAAACATTAAATTGATCAGCAGGTATACCCTTCATTCGGGATCCCAACCAAATTAAATTAATTCACAAATAGCGAACTATGCCAGTTATACTAAATCTTAATATTAAATACTAATACTAATATCGTGGGCTTGGTGCAAAAACTAACTATGTTAAAATAAGTCATTTCGAGAAAATGTCTAATAAAACAAACCTCTTGTTTCATGTTGTTGAAGCCCTAAATAATATCCCAAAAATCCCCAATGTGAAAAAATGTTCCTCCAAAAAATCTCCCACACGAAAAAAAATACCCCAAATTTGGGGGAAATCTGGCAACCCAACCCACGTTAAACGAGAAAGTGGCTGCAATTAGAGACGAATCAAATGAAAAACAAACGATCAAACAAATTACAGAACACTTAAAGACAGATAGATTAATGAAGAAAAAATTATGAATTACAGATGAGATCCTGAAACTAATGGACCAGAGAACAGAAGCGAAAATGACCCAGATAAATACAAAACCATAAATATATAAATAAGAACGAAAATCAGAGAAGCGAAAGAAAAAAAAACAAGGAAAAGATGCGAGAAATTGAGACACTGCAGTCAAAGTACGATAGTCACAATTTACATAGGAAAGTTAAAGAATTGATGGATTCGACCATTACTTGATGGAAATTCATTTTATGTAACAATAAAATACTGAAAACTTTGTTTTCAAACTTCCACAAAAGTTATTTTAAATCTTATCACTACAGCTGTTTCGGCTGATTGCCTTTCTCAAGTGATCTATTTTTGGCTTGGGTTTACAAATTTATAGTCTCTAATAAAATAGGTTGAGAAGGGGAGAACTGTTTGTCTCAAGTTGGTCATTCATAATTATATCTGTGTTTTTTAATTTGTTGATTTCCATAGATTCTAACAAAGATATCTTAAGGCCTTTGTTTTGAATGTGAACAATTTTAAATTTGTCATGAAAAGAATGATTATGATCTAGAAGGTGAATTGCGTATGTCGAATCTGTTTTTCTATTCTTGAAAGCCCTTTTATGTTCTGCTATTCGTTTATCAAAGTTTCTACCAGTTTGACCAATGTAAGTTTTTGGGCAGTCGCCACATTGAAGTTTGTACACACCACTATTTAAGTGTTTTTTATTTTGGCTCTTGTTATTTTCAGTATATTTGCCTAGGTTGTTATTTGTTCGGAAAGCTGGTGTTATTCCTTTCTTTTTTATGTGTTTGGCAATTTTTGTTGTTATTTTGCCTGTATATGTTAAAGAACTCACAGGAGGACTAAGATCAAAGTAGAAAGTAAATATAACTGATTCTGACGGAAATATATTCTTGGACAAACAGAGTAAAATAAGAACGTGGAAAGAATATCTAGAAAAACTATTTGACGACCAAAGAGATAACACCTTTGAGCTAGAAGAAGAGGTAAATGATGGACCATTTCCTAAAATTGTTTCTAAAGATAATTCATAAGAGAATCTACAAGCTCTGTCAAATTTCTCCCAACCAGTTCGGGTTCGCAAATACTCTTGGTATTGGAGAGGCTTTGTTCTCAGTACAAGTCTTGTTCCAGAGATAGAGAGACGTCAACTGTGAAGTATACGTTTGTCTGGTTGATAACGAGCGCGTTTGGATAGAGTATATCACTCCAAGATGATCCAAATACTAAAAGAAGCAAGATTTAATAACCAAGAACTGAAAATAATTAGAAATCTGTATTGGAATCTGACAGCAAATCTTAGAGTTAAAGGTAAACACCTGACTATGTGAAAATCATGCGTGGAGTGAGGCTAGGTTGTATTTGGTCTTCTCTAATCTTTAATCTCTACTCTGAAAGAATATTTATTGAAGCTTTGCATGAAACTGAATAAGGTATTCTTATTATTAATATTATTCTTATGAATATTCTATAAATGGTTCCGGCTAAATAACATTAGATATGCAGATGACACCATAGTATTTGCGGACAACTTAGAAGACCTACAAGTTCTTATGAACAAAATCACGTATAACAGTCAACAATATGGACACAATATAATCGTTGGTTACAACCTCTCTCTTGATATAAAAGCAAGAATATTGCGATGTTACGTCTTCTCTGTCTCTTGGTATGGCGTTGAATCGTGGACCATAGAACCACCTAGAAGCATTTGAGGTGTGGCCATATCGGAGAACACTTAAGATCCCTTGGACTGACCAAGTCACAAATGAGGAGATCCTCTAAAGAATAAATAAGATTCTAGAGGTACTGGCCACCATTATATCTCGAAAGTTACAATTCTTCGGACATATTATGCAAAATTAATCCAGATATGCTCTCTTTTAAGCCATCCTACAAGAAAAAATATTTGTAAAGCGAGGTCCAGGAGGAAGAAGCAAATCTTGGTTAAAGAACCTCAGAATCTGGTTTATTATAACATCTGTGTAGCTTTTCCGCGTTGCTCCAGATAAGATGAAGATTGCCTTGATGATTGCCAACATTCGTAACGGATAGGCACATGAAGATATAGAAGAACCCAGAAATCACTTTTGGCAAGTTTACATTACCAGTTGTTGATTTTTTTTCTAGCCCTTTTTCTATCCGAATTGTCGAATAAAGGCCTCTCCCATTTCTCGCCATTCATTCCTGTTGTGTGCTAGGCGTTTCCACATTGGTCCTGCGACTTTTTTGATATCGTCGCTCCAGCGCATTTGAGGTCTTCTTCTTGGTCTCTTCGCATCGTACGGTCGCCAGTTTCCGACTTCTTTGTTCCATCTACCATCTTCGAGATGTTTGTTGTGTCCAGCCCATTTCCATTTTAATTAAGCTGCTTGTTTCGCGACGTCCTTTATTTTTGTTTTGTTCCGGATTGCTTCGTTCGTTTGCCGATCTATTAGTGAGATACCAAGCATCTGTCGTTCCATGGCTCGCTGAGTTTTTCGAATCTTGTCCATGTTCTTTTTTGTGAATGTCCAGGTTTGAGCTTTGTAAGTGAAAACGGGAAGGATACAAGAATCGAACACTTTGGTTCGAAGGTTTTGGGGTATCTTTTTGTCTTTCAGTATGTATGAGTATGTATAAGAGTTTTCCAAATGCGGCCCATTCCATTCTTACTCGTCTGCTTATTTTGGTAGTTGGGTTTTCTTTGTTTACCTTGATAATCTGACCTAGATATATGTATTCTTTTACATGTTCCACTTTTGTTCCTTGGACGGTTATCGTCGGTTGATCATCTTTATTCGACATTAGCTTAGTTTTACTCAGATTCATCAGTTGTTGATAATATATCCTAAACACCTAAAGGAAAAAATGATCAAATCAGAACTTCACACATATCAAGAAAAAGGAAGAACAGTTGACTTCATATGGATTCCTTCTAATGTGGGAATCCCTAAAAATGAAGAAGAAGACTTAAGTGCGCGTAGTGCAGTGTCTAGTGCTGATTCAGAAATAATATTAAAGTGCAGTCCAGAAGACTTAAAGCTTTATAAAGGCGAAAATCTTAGAAGTCTGGCATAATGAATGGCAAATATCAACGTCTAAACTACGACAAATTAAAGATACAGTTAAAGGAACTCAACTCTTTTACAAAAATTGTCATGAACAGAGTGTAGTTAACCGATTGCGATTAGGCGATACTAGACTCACACACTCTTATCTTTTTTCTAAATGTGAACCACCAATATGCGAGTGCTTTAACAGTAAAACATACCTTTGAATGTGTCAAATTTTAACATCAACAATCTGTTTATAATATAGATTCAAATTTATCAGTTGTTTTAGGTCAAAATAGTTATTCAAAGAACTTAAAAGATTATTTAAAAGCTATCAATGTGTTCTACAGGATTTAACTTTATTTTTTTTATACAAAATTGCTGACTTTTTAGTACTATTTTTTAGGATTTTTTTTGTAACCATGTAATATATCTGTTATTGTAAAATTGTATAGATCCCTCACTAATAACCATTAGGTGGATGCGACTTTGTCTTTAAATAAAAAAAATTAGGTTCGAAATACTCATTTCAGTGAGGAAAAAAGATGGTCTTTAAGAAAAGTAATGGATAAAGACAATTTATGTTTAAATAAATATATTTAATTACTACAAAATAAAAGAGGGAGACTTTGCAATTTTAACGAGGCAGTGTGTATTGTTCTACCAGAGTCATCTCTTTAAGTATCTATGTTTTATAGGGATGCAACACAAATTTGTGCTTTTTGTCCATGAATACCTCAATATAATACCACTAAAACCGAATTTGAAAAATTTCGCCAAAAAGTACGCCTGTTACTTTGATTATGATCTGGATATATTTTATTAAAAACAAATTTAACATTTCCTGCAACGCCCCAATGGCTTTATAAAAATAAAATTTGGGATTTTAAACATCAAGGTTTAAAATATTTATCCAATGTCTTTTCCTTGTTCTTGTTCTTTATTTTCCAAAAGCAAAATTGGCTTATCTTTTCGATTTTTTATATTTTTTACCGTAAAATATTTCCAAATTTTACCCTATTGGTGATGTGCAAGTACTTGGAGGGGATACGAGAAACGATCGTGCGCGAGTAGCGGAGAAATCTTGCATTTTTTACTGCACATTTCATAGAGTTCATAAATTTGTATTGTCAATTGTCATATTTCATATTCGTTTGTTTATTTAAACTTTCTGTCACTGAAGAAAATGGGATTTAGGAAATGCTGTGTTATAAATTAGAAAAGTACAACAAAAAATTGTCAATTTAAGTTTTATTCGTTTCCAACTTCGAAGCACAAAGCTACTACAAAGAGAAAAGTGGATTTAGATCATAAAAAAGCATAAGTAACATAACCTAAATTATGCATTATTCTTGCGCCCGATTTTAAAGTCAGTTTGAAATATATAATAAATAAAAGTTCACTTTTAAGTGTAAATTTTAGTTGCATTACACTCACTTAGAGTTCATTTTAACCCAAAGATCAAGTTTAATGTTTAAATTTTACTTTTTTTTTTTTAAAGTTTACAAAAATGCATCAAGTTCAAGTTTCTCTAAAGATGCATTAAGATATATTCGCTGTCCAAAAGTTTACAGGAAAAGAATTAATTGTTCAAACCAATATGATGATATCATGGGCTTAACCTGCTAATTTATGCCTTAGCATTATTTAAGGTAATTTATTTTTCTTAATTCTTCCACATAATTCTTCCATTCTTTTTTGACATTTGCCACTACTAAAGCTTTTCTCTTTGACTCAGTGCTTGGTTGAAAAGTTATTTGGTGATTTACTTTCTGTTAAATCCAGTTTTTATTATTGCATCCATATTAACAGTAATGCTGTAATTTAATAATATATTTATTTGTATTTACACTACATACAACGTTTACCTTTTAATAACATACCGACATAACCTCAATCTTACTTTTTCTTCTTATTCTTTTTTGGGGCTACGTCCTTGACAGTTATCCGGTAACCTCGATCTTACCTGGAAGCGCAGTAAATTTTGCTGATTTACGACACCAGGTGTCGCTGTTCCGAACTTGCACGGTCCCAATATTCTTTTTTTTTTTACTTTTTACCATGTAAATATGATCTAGCGTAACATAAATCTAAAATATTTATGTTATATATAAAAGAATAAATATTTTAGCAAAAATTACTATCGCTTTGTTGAATTAAATGGCCAAATATATGGCCTAGGAGGGCAGATTTCGTTAAATTTCCCGTGCTCGAATCGGTATCAATAATGTTATGGATCATTTCGGCCTATCCCAGCCTCATCAGAAACTCGGGCTGATACAAATTCAAATTCGAACAGTCCAGCTAATGTCTCTTTAAATTTGACTTCAGTGGTTAGCGTACAGAGGTGCCACCTGCTTTAGCGGCCACGAACGAAAACGATTTAATAATATTGTTTTCTGTTTTCTGGACTATTCGAAAATAAATGAATAAAAGACTTTTCGTTGGACTTTTCGAGTTTGAGTTTGTATCAGCCCGAGTGTCTGATGGGGCTGGGATAGGCCGAAATGATCTATACCACTCTATTGCTACCGATTCGAGTACGGGAATTTCTGTCCATTTTATTATTAACAAACAAAAAACAAAACACGTTTTATTTAAAAATGTATTTTTATTTTACACTATTAACTCATTAATTTGTTTCACAAAATTCCAAAAATTCGCACACTTGTTGCGGAGTTGTGTTGTTGAGTTCATTATAGATTTTGTCGACTTCTGGAATTAATTCTTTTTCGCAAAAATCTTTTAAATCGCCTGGTAGAAGGTCACAAATTGCTTGTGCATCTTTTTCAACTTCGTCCTGTAAAATAAACAGAAAATTATATATTATAATAATAAAGATAGCTTATTACACAGCCCAGAATAAAAGTTCCCGAAATTGTGACTCTTTTCTTGTGGAACTCGGAAAGATTTTTCCTAAGACATTTCCTTAAAGTGCCAATAACTGAGAGCATTTTCCTAAATGGAACATGATTCAAGTAAAATCTCACACAAAGAATCATCATATTATATTGAATATGAATTACTATTTATAGGAAAGCTACACGCGAAATTTATGACTAAATAACAGAGTAGGGCTTTAAATACTTACCAATGGAACTTCTTCTTGTACGTATTTTTTTATCAGAGTTGCAAATCCTACACAGGCATCGCAGAAAAAGCTAAAAAATAGATGTAAGAGCTATATAAATTAAGTAAATTAGATTAAATTAATTATATTATATAAAAAATATACCAGCATTATATTTGTTGTAAATATCTGTTTTAGCAATTGGTTTAAATGTAAACAAAAGTTGTGAATCTTGGTGAAATACATTTTAAAAATCATAAAAGTACTTTAAGTCCATAATTTTTTTTCTTTCTAGCTTTATTCAAAACTAAAAATCAACCACTATCTTTATAATCTACGTAATAGTGGGTCAGAAGGCTAACGATAGCTAAGCCCAGTTGCCAAATAGGTTAAGGCCACTTGTAGTTTAATCCTTGCTGGTACTCTTGCTGGCAATATACTGTGATGACTTCCCTCATCACAGTATATTGCCTTCGTATCATTGGAGTTATATCTTTTAACAACATATTAAAACGTTCAACATTCATTCTAGAAGTGTTTTAAATTCATGAGTATCTTCAAACTGTAGTTCACTGAAGAGGGTATTTGTAGCACCGAAATTTGATCTTCTTAAAATCCATTGTCTAGTCCAAAGACACTTATCTCCTTCTAATATCTCTTTGTTTGATCACTATCTTCACTACTTTCTTGTTTTTGTGAATCTAAGCTGAACTGACTCGCCTACAAATTCCAAAAGTGCCAAATATGTATAAACCATCTCTCGCCCTCACAACTATCTCGGCCAAAGTAAGAGTTTACTGTCTGGCCACTGCACTCGTTACGTGAAATCAAGCCATTACGGATATGAATTAAGACACGTATTATTATGCTATCTTTTGTACAATATTATTTAAAATTAATCTAATCTACTACACATGGAAGGTAAAGAAAGAACAAGAACGAATCACTGGTTTGACGAAGAATGTCAAACTATAACAGAAAGAAAAAACAGAGCATATTTATAGATGCAACAGAGGCACAGAACCCGACAAGCAGAGGAAGAATATAAACAACTACGTAAAGAAGAAAAGAAAATTCACCAAAGAAAGAAGAGAGAATATATCAACAAAGAACTTTAAGAACTACAAGAACTAAGTAAACCAACAGAGACAAGAAAATTTTACCAGAAACTCAACAAAAGCAGAAAAGAGTTCAAACTGAGAACAACGATGTGTAAAGATAAGGAGGGTAATATATTGACAGAACAGCAAGAGATACTTAGAAGATGGACAGAACATTTTAAGGAAAAGCCTGGGGTGAATAGGACGGAGATGAACCCTGATATACCGTTAGACTAAGCAGACAACAAAGAAAAGAGTCCACCAACAATAGCAGAGATTAGAACAGCGATGGACAAATTAAAGAACAATAAATCACCGGGATCGGATCAAATATCATCGGAGCTACTGAAAGAAGGACGAGACGCATTACTTAAAGCCATACATAAGCTGATAAGAAAAATATGGTTGAATAAACAGCTACCAAAGGAGTGGAATAGCGGCATTATTGTACCACTACATAAAAAAGGAAACCAGTTAGAATGTGAAAACTACCATGGAATCACGCTGTTGAATGCGGCATACAAAATAATGGCCAACGTAATGTATGAAAGACTTAGACCATACGCTGACGCAAAAGTCAACAGTAGACCAGATATTTGTTCTGCGACAGATCCTTGAAAAAACAAGTGAATATAACATCGACACACATCATCTCTTCATAGACTTCGAAAGCGCGTATGACAATATAAACCGAGAATTCCTAACAAAAGCAATGAAAGAATTTAATATACCAACACAGCTAATAGAATTGATAAAAGAAACACTAAAAGTAAAAAGTAAAATCCGGATACAAAACGAATTAACGGAAACAATAGACGTGAAGAAGGGACTACGCCAGGGAGACACTCTATCATGCATATTATTCAACATCATACTTGAAAAAATAATAAAAGACACAACAGTTAATACCCGAGGAACAATAATTAATAAAAGCGTGCAAGTACTAGCATTTGCAGATGATGTTGACATAATCGCAAGATCAAGAAGAGAAATAATAGAGGCATTCACTCAAATAGAACGAGCTGCAAAAAGTAGTGGTCTTAAAATCAATTAGACAAAAACAAAATATATGCCTGCAAATAAAAATGCACAAATAAGGCAGCTGCCAAATTTAACAATAGGAGAATACAACATTGAGGCGGTAAAAAACTTTACATACTTAGGATCCCTAGTTACGTCTGATAACAACGTTGCAGAGGAAGTGAAGAGGAGAATATTTATTGCCAATAATTGTTACCATGGCTTAATTAGGCAACTAAGATCAGATAACGTCTCCAGAAAAACAAAATGCCAAATATACAAAACCTTAATAAGACCGGTACTCACATACGGTTTAGAAACCTGGACACTCTCTAAAAGGGAGGAAACGTTATTAGCCACCTTTGAAAGAAAAATCTTGCGACACATATATAAGGGCACAAAAGACAACGGGATTTGGCGAAGAAGGTATAACTTTAAACTATACAACATATACCAGGATCCGGTATCATAACATTCATTAAAATAGAAAGGCTACGTTGGATTGGACATGTGGAAAGAATGGAAGAAGATGAAATACCAAACAAAATATTCAAACAAGTCCCAATAGGAAAAAGAACAAGAGAAAGACCGAAGCTGAGATACTTAGAACAAATAGAAAATGATATAACAACATTAAAAATTAAAAACTGGAAAAAAAAGCACGAAACAGGTCAGAATGGAGAAGAATCCTTGAACAGGCCAAGACCCAAAAAGGGTTGTCGAGCCAGTGATGATGATGAATCTACTAACATATTTTTGAAAGCGAAGTGTTATATCCTTATAATGTATTATTAGGTGTTTCGATTATAAAAAATGTCAAAAGATAAAGTGATTTTTTAGACTAATCAATTACTAATAACTGGTGAACACAATAAGCTTTGATTTATTTTCTAAACATTTTTTTCTTCAATGCTACTTACTCATTCTTTTGGGCGCTAACGGTTAGACCTAGAAAAAAAATTAGTTTTAATAAGTGAAAAGAAAACCTCTTAAATACAGTTTTAAATGCAAGCAACCCCTAATTTTAATTCAAAATATTTTATACCTATTCGGTGTTTCGATTTCTAAACAGATCATTTTTTTTGTTTTGACTGTATGTAGTAAGTACTTTAGTTTTATGAAAGATATCAAAGTAGTCTTAAGTTTTTGTTAACTGTGGTCAAATCTTATGAACAAACAGGATTGTTCTGTGCACAAAGGCTGATATGAATGTTTAATCCAATATCTGTGAGTGAGATCTGATTTGTTAAGCAGACATGTACTGAAAAATAATTTGGGATTTGTTTGGGACCTTGAGTACCTATTGTGTACTCAAGGTACAAGGTATTATAAATAGGGATTGTATAGAGGTACACCTCATACAATCTCTCGTACAAGACCCTTAAGGCAGAATTTTTAAAAATGTCAACTTTTCTTTCAAGATTTTTGGACACAGAACCATAGAGAGTAGCACAAAAATCTACAATATATCGTATATTATATGCTCTATAAAACAATAAAGATATTTTATTATCGCAACCCCACCACAGTCTAGTTTGTATTTCTAAGGAAATTACTACCTTTGTTGCATCTATCCAGCATATATGTTGTATGTGTTGTTTTTAAGTTCAGGATAATGCCCAGAGATTGTTAAGAAATATAATTTGGTTTAGAGGAAGGTTGTGTCGAATAAAGACAGACACTACTGATTTGGCAATTGATAAATATAAGAGAAATCCTCATGAGCGACTGTAACAATCAATAAATTGAAACAAGTAGCAATAAGTATGGCGTTAATTAGTACAATATTAATGGACAAAGCCAAATATAACTATACACACATAAAATCTTCTTCACATACAAAAAAGACAGATATATTAGAAAATATATATACAATACTAACATTTTCTAAAAGATTACTTACCGACGCAAACCAACACAGCCAAAACTAAGGTAGCCTTCATTTTTAAGAATTTTTTTGAAAATAATCTGGACTGGTGGTTTAGCTTTATATAAAAAAATTGGACCACTTAAAAAATGACACCACTTGAATAAAAAACCTTGTATTACTGATACATTCTTACTTAGATTTATTTATGTGATGAGATTACAAAACTTATTGTAATATAATGAGGATAATTATAAATGAAATTCCATTTCATTTTATTTAATCATAAAAAATTTTACACAATAATTAAAAGCCAACAATAAAATTACAAGAAATGTAATTAGATTCTTTTATTTCTTAATAAAGCATATCCTCAGAGGTTTAATTTTACACTAAAATATGACAAGAAATATCAATGAGCAGTTATGTTTTATTGTAAATTAACACTCATAAATCTTAAAACTATAGTGACAATCAATTGTGTCGAATTTGGTACCACAGACGCAGATTACCATCTCGTCCGATAGTATTGGAATTAGCTGGATGAGTAGGAAACAATAATTTACTCACCACTTAAAAATTTTGTACGCTAATTCTTAGATAAAAGCTCTTAGAAAACTAAATGGGCGTACAGTTTTATAAGAGTTTAAAAGGGGAAAGAATAGGAACTGCACTGGTGTATGACTTAAGAGTTCCGATGTAAGAAACAAAAGCTCAAACATGGTACACCCTTCTCATCAAGTAGACCCTGTACAATCAGAAATCACTATTTGCCAAATCAGAGTACGGACTCTAACAAGTGCCCGTATTTCTGATACAACGCATATAAATTCCCTGCTCTACCATCGAGGAGGTCTGTACTATGACGATTTTTGTACTAAGGTGAAACAAGACGTTTATCCAAAAGAAAATATGACTTAAGAAGCTAACAGGATATTAGTCTTTCCACCTTTTTCTAGGCCTTCCTGTCGATCTTCTACCATCTGGTCTTTCCCAAACCACATTGCTAATCAGTCTGTCGTCATCACTCCGTACCACGTGGCCTGCCCATCTTAATATATTGGCTTTTATGTATCTTACGATATTTCCTTTCCCGAAGAGAGTCTCTATTTCATTATGCTTACCTTTTATGGTTTATAAAAATGCCCTGAACGTCCCCTGGACTAGAAGAGTGTAATTCCTGTGTAATCCTTGTATCTGTTTTTAAAAATTGGTGTCTGGCTGTAAAGCCAATACAAAAAAAATAAAAGATTTTAAAATTGGAAATTTCATTTAAAACACCTGATTCCCTAAACGAATGTTATAAGCATTAAACTTTAAGTTACGTCTAAACCGACAGTTCACTCATTCAAATTGGCATCAAAAACTGACACCTACCATCACATATATGGATTAAACACGGACATTTACACCTTTTTGTTTCAAAAGCGGACATCTCTATTTTCAAATATTCTTCTTCTTCTTAGAGTGCCATATCCCTACGGAACGTCGGCGACTACCATGCTTTAAATATTATTATACTGATCTCGGTCTTGGGCTACGTGTAGCAATTGGTCCGCTGTCAAACCTGTCCACTGCCGCAAATTCCTCAACCAAGAGAGTTTCTTCCTTCCTATCCATTTCTTTCCTTCGATTTTACCGTTGAGAATTAGCCAAAAGAACTCATATCTTGGTCCTCTGATTATATGTCAAGATATTCTAGTTTACGCCTCTTAATAATATTTAATAGAGTTCGTTAATGTCCCATTCTTCGAAGAACTTCTTCGTTTCTGGTTCTGCTAGTCCATGGAATTTTTAGTATCCTTCGATACAACCACATCTCAAACGCCTCGATTTTATTCATGATATCGGCGTTTAAAGTCCAAGTTTCACATACAAAAGTACAGACCAAACCTAACATCTTGTAAACTTTTCATGGATTTCCAAATTTATTGAGTTATTGGATAATAGAGGCTTGAATTTTTGAAATGAGTTTCTTGCCTATTCCATTCTATATCGAATTTCGAAGGATGGATCTAGATTTTGGGTAATCCAACATCCAAGGTATTTGAATCTCTGAACTCTCTGCAGCGGTTGTTGGTTTAATATCAGTTGGGTTGCGCCGATATCCACTTTACTGGTCACCATGTATTTAGTTTTATCGATATTTATCGACAGTCGCCAATTTGTGCATTCCATGTCAACTCTATTGATTAGCTCCTGCAGATCGTCGATGTTTTCAGCTAGAATCACAGTATCGTCGGCGTTCCGTATATTGTTAATTATTTTTCCTCCTATGATAATTCTTTTTTGATCTTTTAAAGCTTCCCTAATTAGATTCTCATAATACACGTTAAAGAAGGTGGGAGATAGTATACAGCCTTGTCTTACGCCTCGTTCAATACTGATTGGCTTTGATTATCTGTTGTTGGTATTAATAATGGCTGTTTGGTTTCAGTAAAGTTTGGCAATAAGTTTGATGTCTTTCTCATCTAGTTGGATGCTCTGCAAGGCGATAATTAGTCTGGTATGCTGAACGCGATCAAATGCCTTTTCAAAATCAATGAAGCACATATATACGGGTTTTCTTACCTCCCAACATCGTTGAAGGAGATGTTTGCATAGAAAATAGTGCTTCTCTAGTACCAAGGCATCTCCGGAACCCGAACTGCTTTTGACTAATTATTTCTTCGCACGTGTTGTTAATTCGGTTTAGAAGAATATGCGAACGGCATGGCTCATTAAACTAATTAGTCTACAATCGCTACATTTTTCAAATACATTCGTCAAATCGCTACATTCGTCAAATATTAATTTTTTAATAATCTCATATCTTTCTAATATCAGAATGTCCACAAGATTACTTTTGAAGTCTTCACTGAAATTAAAGAAAGCGACACTTTTATAAAAAGAAAAATAGCAGCTGTGTATAAAAAATCAATTTATTTAAATTTTTCTTGCATGACACATTCGTCTTTGATATAAAGCCACTCAAATATTCTAATTCTTGTTTCCGTTGACCTTGATTGTTTTATCAATTATCAATATTTATTTATTATTAATTATTGATAAAAAAATTTAATATATCAAAAACACCTGTGATCCATATTGATCGATATTAATTTCATTTATTTTAGATTAGGTGCTACCCTCTTTATTTCAGACGCTCAACTAATAGATAAGAAAAAGTAGATATTCTAAAGTATTAATATAAATATAGATTTCTGTATTTCTTAAAATTGTATCACCACTTAAAGAAAAAACCAGTTGATCAAGAATTCATTGAATCAAGTTTATTATTAAAAATAATGGATTTATTTAAGTTATAAAGTTATTTTAACGTAATGATAAGATAAGAGTAAGCGGGTATATTTAAGCCGCAGTTAAAACGAATAACATTTAAATAAACAACTAACGTTTAACAATTCTTTGGGTAGATGGAAGCACGTACATCATAATATTTAGCCCACGCTATGAGGAAAGAAGTACTCGTTAATCCAGGAATTTATATAATGTGGCATAGGTTATAAAGAGCAACTTTAGGAACAATCCCCTAGTTCATTCTACACAAAATTTTTGGTTATTGTTTAATTACGAGCGTTTATAGGTGCATAATACGTATTTTTTGAGTTTTCTTCATTTTTTGCCCAAAGTGTTGTAATGGGTTATTTTTGTATAGATTATGAAAGTACTCTAAAAGACTTTCAATTTAAGCCATTATACGTTCAATTTAATTTATTTGTTATTACAAAAATGAAGAATGAAGTTCGAAATTAAAAAATGTAATATTTATTGACAATTTTTTTTTATTTATTTCAAATGTATGACATTTAAGCCTATAAAATTCTACATAAATAACCAAAAATTTTTTGTTGAATGAACTGGAGGATTGCTCCCTTTTTAACCTAGGCCACATTACATACATTCCTGGATCACAGTGTAAAATTACTCTTTTTTTCCCTACAGCCTGGGCTAATTCTAATATTTTGATTTTTCCGAAAATTGATTCTCTGAATAGCGACATTGTTGCCGGCTATGTCAACTTAAACTTAAACTGGAACTTAAAGTTGTTCGAGAAACTGTTGCTAAAAAGAATGAAACCGATAATAGAAGAGAAAAAACTGATACCAGACAACCTATTTGGCTTCAGAAATAAACACTCTACTATTGATCAACTACATAGAATTACTAACATAATTGAGAAATTGTTAGAGGGGAAGAGAGTCTGTTCTACAACATTTTTAGACATAGCTAAGGCATTTGATAAAGTATGGCATGAAGGTTCACTGTATAAACTGAAATCTTTTATGCCTAGACAATCTTCAAAAATTCTACAATCATCCATATCTGATAGATAATTCAGGTTCAAACAAGAAGACGTTTACACAGATTAAAAAAAATAAAGCAGGAGTCCCTCACGGAAGTGTATAAGGTCCGGTCCTCTACCTGTTATACACATGCGACATACCTGAACTAGAAAATGATGCTATAGCCACCTTTGCAGATAATACTGCCATTCTAGCAGTAGGTAAAACCATAGAAAAAGCAGCAGAAACATTATAGTTGTCAATAGATAAAATTCATAAGTGGACAAAAAAATGGAAAATCAAACTATATATATCAAACTAAATATATATATATATATATATATATATATATATATATATATATATATATATATATATCCGGTTTTTTAGGCGTTACGGACGTACGGTAGGGATCTATGGAGGAGTATCACCGAGCCGCAAGCCCTTATCTCTTGCCGTACTGCTCCACCATAGGCCGATCAGATCCCAGCATATTCTAATCTAAGCCGCAGATTCATCTAGAATTTTAAACTGCTGCGTTAGACTTTTTGTTTTCTGTACACCGAACTGGGGCTCGATCCCACATCCACTGAACCATTCGACAGTGAAGCGAATGAGAGGCAGCCGCATAGCCCGCTGAGCTATCTGACCGACAAAATATCAAAATCAAACTAAACAAGTCTAAATTAATTTATGTTAATTTTACAAACAAAAAAGTCCAAAGCATTCCAATTAGAATAATCAAATAATAAAAATCAAAATCAAACTAAACGAGTCTTAATCAATTTATGTTAATTTTATAAACAAAAAAGTCCAAAACATTCCAATTAGAATAAATGATGTCTAAATACCGCACGCATCTACTGCAAAATACTTGGGTATCCCACTTGATGCAAAGCTTCG